GGGGCCGGAAAAACCTACAATGCTCTTTACTCCACTTGAACTTACTGGAAATATTAAGGGCCAATTAAGGGTATGGTACGAAGTATTCCGACGCCGAAAGCTCTGCCCACCTTGGCAGCTGCAGATGCTTCCCTTGCCTCAGGGCGGGAGCTTCAGAACCCGAAATACTCGGATTGGCAGGATCCTCAATAGAAGGGTGACAGCTGTTCCGACATCAGGCTCGAGGGAGGCCACCTACCGAACCTGACCAAAGCATGACAGCAGGAAGTAGTACTCAAGGAATTGGCCTCGGAAGTGGTCTTTGTCTAAGCTCCCAGCCTTCTTCACTGCTTCAGCCCCAAGCCTCGGCTGTTGAGGTGATGAGACTTGAACAATCCGCCACGTTCTTCCAGCAATGCTGTCGCAAGGCTTCAACTCCCACAGCCAGGAAGACTTGCGGGTCGAGCACTACAATGTTCGAGGCACAAGTTGCAGCCATGAAGCATCGTCGAGCCTCCCGATTGCTACAAGGAGATTTAGGGCGTGGGCCCTTGGAGGCGTTCAAAGTGATCGATTTTCGAGTCTACCCGCATACTTCTTGGACCATCTTCTGAGAAAGAAGTAAGAGCACCCAACATCAAGGACAACCCTGAAGCCTGTCAGTGTCTCAGATTTCCCGACTCATCGGCCTGAGCCTCGCTCCTCCTTGTCGAGGACGCCGGTGGCGGCTCGAAGGAGCGCCTTACGGCTCAGGGCTTTTGGAGGTTTTCGGGTTTTCGTTAAGAAGGCCTTGGGAGCCAAGGTAGTACCTATGCTCTCGTATGTGCGTGGCTGAATGTACCCCGAAGTTGACATGAAAACCCTGACTACGCGTGCTCGCAAAAGGACAACACACATGTACTCGCACCAAATTCCTTGATCACTGATCATGCACTCACACAGACTTTGCTCTTAACTTTGCATCATATCTGATCCGTGTCTGTGTTTGACATAAGTCACTATTTACCTGTGTATATATATATATATATATATATGATGCACATATATGCACACGTATGTTTCTAGGTATGCTTATGTCTACATTTTCATACACATATACACATCTATACACACACAAATATGAATACACATCGGTATACATACATACATACATACATACATGCATATTCATATACATGCATATATATATATATATATATACACATAAAGACAGACAGACAGACGGACAGACAGACAGACAAACAGACATGCATTACTTACTGAAAGCTGGAACCTTGGTCGTTCCAGAGCCCTGTGCTGAAGAAAGCATGAACTGGGTTTGTGGCTCTAAGTTCCATATCCTACGCTCGTGCTGCACTGCAGTGGTGGTGGTGCTGCTGCTGCTGCTGCTGCTGCTACTACAGCTGCCAAGTACAGTACAACAATTCCTACCTACTCCCAGTTTCTCTTGCTCCTACTCCTACTCCGGCTCCTGCTATTGCCACTGCCGCTGCCGCTCCTGCTCCTGCTCCTACCCCTTCTGCTACTGCGACTGAAGCGGCTACTGCTGTACTGGAACTGCTACTGAAACGGCTACTGCAACTACCACTGCTTCTGCAACTGTCACCACTACTGCCACCACGACCCCAATTGCCTGTCGAATACCTACCACCGCTCTGTAGCCGGTCCCCAGCTCGCTGCCTCCTCCTCCGCCTGCCCGGACTTGGCCCAGTCCTCTTCCAAAAGGCGCCTGGCGAGGTCTGCAAACCAGATGCAGGTGTCAGTAAGCTTCAGCGATTACGAGTCTACCGTTGGAAGGTTCGAGGGTCAAGGCGTGTGTGGTCGGCAGCGTCAGGGTGCAAAACCCCCACCCAAAAACACGCTCATGCTCATTTGCACGGAGACCCAGAACCTCTTGGTTGAAGCATGCTCAAGTTACTATTTAGGAACTTCTGTTCGTGCGGGCAAGTGACACGTGAGCGTGAAAAGTAAGGTGCCCCAAGGCCTGCATCCTACTCAACTTCAGAACCTGACAACTAAGGCTACCCCGTAGCGCTTACAGGGGTCCTTACAATAAGGATCCCACACCATGGTTTACGGCGACCAAGTTGTACAACTGATCCCTGAACCCTTAGCCTCGCCCTTGAGCTTTACTTCAATATTTAGACCCCAAGCACGCGCATGCTCTCTCAAAAGGAAGCCGGAATATTAAGAAACTCTCCACTGCACCCTTGTGCACTGAAAGCTCGGTCCAACAGTGCTGCTCTGCCCTCGCAACACAAGACGTGGCAAGGCGGCAAGACCTGAGACAAATACAAACACAACTGGACTTCAGAGTAAGAATCGTGCTCTACGCTACCGGCTTAGAGGACAGTTCTTTTGGGATTTTCGGATAACTAGAACTGAATAGTCAGATCTCGCTCATGATTCATGGTTTAGGGGCTCCGTTTTGCCAGGTCAAGTTCACCCTGTAAAGCTTGTCACAACGGGATGGATACTGACAGGCTCTCTACCGTGTCTTAGGGGGTGCTGAATTGATTTAGGGCCTCTATCGGGTTGCCTTGTTCTCTGTTCACTCTTAGATGCGCCTTTCGGCTCGCAGTACAGCCTGGCAACTCTCGATCAGGAAAAAGATTTAAGAGTGATTCGATACTGAGGGCTTCGTGTGGACTTGAGCATCTCGCGAGCATCTCTGCACTCCATCTGCAACGAGGCTGCTGGAGCAACCTGTCCAACTGCCTCGTCCTGAAAAGGTCTCCTTCTTGCTCTGCAATACGAGCACGTGTGAGAATTCTGGGCCCTTAAACTGCAATGCCACCGGGCGACCAATGGGAACGGCGCTGTAGCCATTTTGCATCGATGTCGCGCCTTGAGGCTGCAGTGGCTGTCATAGAGCTGCCAGCTGCTTCGGTGTCTATGCTATGCCTGCTTGCAGCTGCCGCAACGGGCCAAAACGTGAAGCAGTTTCTCGATCCGTACACGGGGTATGGACTTTCCAACCTGCTAATGTACAGTCAAACTCCTAAAATGTGGGGAACTAGGCTAACCAATTGGAATCGAGCAGAGACGTCCCAGGAATCTGGATAACAAAGTCATATGGGCTTTTCAGGCCCAATGTAGACTTGAACAGAAGAGGGTATGATGTGAATGTGTGAGTGTAGAAACCATTCATTTTCCATGTTGATGGGCTCATTTACGTATGTATCTAATTAATAAGTTATGTATTTAGGCAGGTAGCTCCATATATATATATATATATATGTATGCCCTCTTCGTTAAGACCAGGCCTTGCGGAGGGCGGCCAGCTTCTGCACATTCCAAGTCTGCGCGCCCTCGCCTCGCCAAGTTCACATCGCGAAGTAGGGCTTAAAACAACTAATCTGGATTATATTGAAAGGGATTTCGGGTTTGGGATTATAGAACAGTCCTGGTCTCGCCAAGAAACTTACATCAGGCTATGCTGCCACCGGCTTGATGCTAAGTCCTCAATGCACCTACAGCCAGGAAGCAAGCAGATTTAGTTACACCACCGACAGTCAGCCAAGCCCTTCCCACAGAAAGGACACAACAGGCCTAGCATCCACAGCGGAAGGTCCTCGCAGAAACGACAGAACAGTAGGGGCTTCACAAGCGCGAGGAGGAACCCTATATGAACAACATGGGATCCCCAATGTGATTTGCTGGGAATACTCCCAAATTAAGGGCTCAGCGGAAGAAATGGGTTTGTATTGGGAGTTGAATCTCAAGAGGCTACGATGGACGTCGTGGAAGACCCTGACTGCTCTAGTCACACCGCCCTTTGTCCCGCAGAGTTGCGATGCGTGAAGCTTGCTTGTTTCTGTTTTATAGGGTAGTTTTGGCCGGGATTCTCAGAGGCGAGCTGGACCAAACCCACCCAAACGTCAGCAAAGATCAGACATCTTGCACATTCCAAAGACCGTCTGCCTTCCGATGTCCGGCAACATTCCTCGACATTCATGGTGAAAGCAGTAGTTCTGGGCAGAGCCGAATTCCCCCGCCACACCCACACCCCACATTCCTTGATATCCTGAAGCCCCACAAACCTTAAATAACGACGAAGTCCGAATGCTTACTTCACGGGGCAACAAGGCAACTCAGAGATATCCCTGCTGTCCGCAGCTGCCATTGCCGCCCAAAAGCGGCGGAGTGCAGCAGCGCCAACGCCCTTCCACGGAAATTGGAGCCCCGGTAACCCCCAACACTCATTCAAAAGAGTTCAGGTAGTTGTATGGGGGCAAAAAATCACGGAAAATACTTTCAGTTATGCAAAAGCTCACTAGAATTGAAGGCATATCACCTAGCTGAGCGGCATTTCATGGGACCTATATAATATAGTGGGCTGTACCCAACTCACGCATCACCCAACTCTGCATGCCGAGCGCTTCCAATAATGCCAGTCGCTTCTACGGCGGACCACAATGATAAGGGACCTGTGGTCACGAAGGCGACACATAGGCAACCACACAAAGTCCGAAGCGCGTAGGAAGAGCCACGGAGTTATTAGGAATCCCTGAGGAGGGATCAAGCTCTGAAACGTGAAGTGTTCGGGTTCCCGTCTTGTTCTGTGCGAATTATTGCACTGGAAATGGGTTGAACTTGCAACAATGCCACAAAAACAGCATGACCCATGCGAGCTTTTGGGGCTCTCTTTCCGCGCAGCGCGCACGGAGGCGTCTGAGGGCGAATTTTCAACCTCTGCGATAGTCCACTTGCGGTGGTAGCCGCTCCACCCTCTTTAATTCAATAATTATGCATTATTACATAATACATAGTAAGAGGTAGTTGGCTCAATTGGAATCATAGGAGGCCCGCATTCATTAAGTGCCTGATCCCAGAAGCCTGTCGTGGGGTGGCGGTGGACCCGAACCCGGTCATAGGGAGCCCAGGGCCCTCTGCTCCAGGTTGCTGATCTGACACTCCTGTAGAATCCAATAGTAACTCCCTTTACTTAGACCCAAACTTCACCTCCAAACCCTAAATCCTAAACCACTCTGAGAGGCTGCTGGGTTCCCTGGGTGGAGCTACGTCTCAACTTTGGGCTTCCGCAGCATCCAGAGAACATGGCTGGAACCGGGCTCAGCGCGAATGATCCTCACGGCTTTCTCGCTTTTTTGGGGATGTGTGGTTCATAGCTACATGTTCTGAGGGCTGGCAGGCTTGATGCACGGCTTGGGGTCTTAGAGGCTTTTGCGGTTGAGAGTTTCGAGTGTATGGCGTAGCTTCCAGACTCTCGAAGACTTTGAAGCACTTCGGGGTTTCGTGCGCAGCTACTGTGGCCTCAGCTATGCAGCGATAGTATATGAGTAGGACTCACAACCAAAGGATAAACCTGGCTTCATATACTGTTTGCTGCAGATGTCAGAAACACCTACAGCAGGCTTCAAAGAAGCACCAAAGTTGTCATGCGAACTTGAAACACCATGATCTCCGAACTGTGCCTTACCGAGGGGTCAGCTCGTTCAAGCTGAAGGTGTGCAAAATAGGCTGCAGAAGGCGAGACGATACTTGAACTAGCATGGAACAAGGAAAAAACAAACGCCTACAATCAATCCAAATGCTGAAGGCTGTCGATGGTGCAGCCAGTCCTGAACTCTGGCGGGTCAGCTTCGTGCGAGTTGCGGTGCTCCACAAACCTCTGCACGTCCTGACGCACTTTGGAGTGGGAATATACCAACAACCTATGTCGTAGAGAGACTGGCATCCACTCTTTCATTGCAGGGTACAAAAAGAGATCCCGACCAATGAAATGGCTAAGCAAGACAAAGCTGCCTTGGAGAACCTGCTCCTGAAAGCCCTAGGCCCAGGCCCCAGAGTCTCCCCGACACTGGGCAAATCACCGTTGTGGTGGCCTGTCTGACGGCCGCCCAGCCATAGTCGTCACCAAACCTTGGGGGTTATGAGCCGATAAGCCTCTTTGAGGTATCACAGGTTGCAGGAATCCTTTACAAGTACAGGCCCAGACAGCTCTCAATCACGGTGGCTACCAGTTCCAGGGCCGCACAACTGCCATCCACTGAGGGGTATTTCCCGAGAAGTACATCGACTTCGGCCGGAGGGTTCGTTCAAGAATGCTTGCCGATCGGCTCATCCTACCCTTCTCTTGTAGACGGGGCGCTGCCGAAGAAAATCGAGCTCCGTCAAAAAGCACTACGCTTCAAGCCACGTGGCATGATGCCACCCGGCTCAAGGATGTCATAATAAAGCGAGAGCTCCTTTCAAAATGCGGCCCAAGAATCCTTGACCTGAGACCCCCCAAAAACCGTTCATGAATAAGTACAATGCATTATCTAGTTCATGGAAATCTGTGACTCTTCTGTCTGGCAGGCCTCCAGCACTTCGCTTTTGCTATCGGCTAGATGGTGCAAGTCTTCTGGCACCGGTACTGTTGCGGCTCAGGATTCAGGTGCTGAGGCTTGTAGAGGTTGGGCTTTCAAGGATACTTCTTGCGAAAATTCGCTTCGGCGTTGGCCGAAGCGTTCAGAGGTCACCTCTTTCCTCTCTCCACTTCGCCTAATCGCCTCCCCAGTGACCCACCCCCCGTTCCAAACCTGAAGACTTTAAATGCGAGGAGCCGTAAGCCCATCAAACAAAAATGCAAAGGCTCCAAGAACGTTTCATCCAGCTCGTGGGCTGAATCCAAGAACACCAAGTCCTGTAGCTTTTGGGGCTTCAAGATTGTGAGTTTCGGGTGTAGAGGATGTGATGCGGCTGTAAAGGGATCTCGCTAAATGAGGTTGGAGGGACGTACAGCGACTCAGTTGAATAAACGTCAGTCTCGGCTCCTCTACAATTCTAAAAAGCTGACATCGCCTGGGTTCAGCCTCGAATACCGCGACCGCGTGTATTGAATAGTATATTGCTTTATGGTGTGCATGCATCCAGCAGCTCTAGCAACTCATGCTACTGCAGCTCATCAGACACCCCACACCTGCAAACTTAGAACTCCGGTTCATCGCGGTCCGGATAGAAGTGCTTCTCCACCAGCCACCGGGCGCCCACTGTTGATGTGGCCTTTTCCAGGCTTGGCTGCAGGGATCTGTCGTTTGTCCAGAGGACTTAGGTTTCTGGACCTCGGTCGGTGTGTGTGTGTGTGTCTGCGCGTGTGCGTGTATGTGGGTGACCTTGGTGCTCCAGTAGTTGCCCAGACTGGCGGTATTAGCTTAGGAGTGTGCCGCCCATTTACGTCCGCTACCTCGTCAAGCAGCTTGACAAAGATTCATGTGCTCACGGTCGCCTGCCAAAGATCATATGTGGAAACATCCATGGACCGCACAGGCCTGAAACGGCAGTATGTGATTCCGCGACACCTCAAAGCTGCGAGCTTCAAGCAGCAACCGCAAGCTTATGTAAAGGGTGCTGCGAGGAGTAAACTTCTGATGCTAACCATTGGAGGCGGGATATTTAAGGGTTGATTGCCACGCGAAACGGTGTGCAGCAGGCGCTCGAAGCTTCACAGGCAAGCGTCGGTTCGATTTATCGCGAACTGGACGTTGGCCATAAACTGGTCGAACACCATCATACGGCCGTCAATGATCTTGACCTCATTGACACAGACTCAGACTCTACTGGAAACCTTAACCTGAACCTGAAACCCTCTGCTCATGCTGCAGAGAATTCAAAAACGAGAAGTGCCCGAGAGTTGAAAAATGAGGGCTCCCTCTCGGAAGCTCGACCACTCCCTCTGAGATAAGAACTGTACCCAAAGAACCAATGGGAGACTACAACTAATTATTCAGACCGACATTCATGTCAAACGCATGGACCTTTTTGCGACCTGCAGCTGTAAGTATCATGTAGGGGACTTGCTAAGTAGAGCTTGTACTGCACATATGTTGGACTGGAAGGGGTTACTCAAACCTCTCTACATTCAGCAACCTCCGAATGAGTCCCCGAAGTCCTGCTCCCGTCGCCACCCTGCAAAGCCCAAACCTCCATTTTGTCCAGGCGGCCCACCCAGCTACGCTCCGATCCTGCATCGCTCAAGCTGGAAAACGCAATGCAACGAGTCCTAAGTACCTTTGTGCTGGGCAGGGTCTCCACACAAGTATCCCCCACTTTGGTACTCAGGAATCTCTGGGAACTGACCGCACAGAGTGCCGAAAGGCTCTCGTCCGGCTTTGGAGATCTGTGCTGCTTGATTGCTGCAGTTGAGGATTTTCGAAGCTTTGTAAGGGTTCACGGTTTCGTGTTGAGGGATTAAGGTTTTAGGAAGCCGGGGCACGCTTGAGCAAAGGATGTATTCATCTGCATTCGACTGTGTCAGAGCAGATGCGCCTCAATAGTCAATAGTCCGAAGAGTTCGACCTCTATAACGGCCCAAGGCTCCGTCTGGTAGTTGGCCCACATGTTGGTGTCGCCAGTGAAAGGATCGATGCAAAGGATAGGGACATGGTACCTTAGGGCTTTCGGTTTGGCGTTCAGGGTTGTCTCGACCATGGAGCTCAACCTAGAGACTGTTCGCAAGTGGGAAGCTTTTGGGGGTCGGGACTGGTAAAGCTGAAACTCCATATTCCAGTCCATACACGGACCTTGCATGCCTCGTACGACGTCGCGTCTCTCTTCCCAAACCCCGAGCTGCACCCAAGACGCATGTTAAACTGGTCGAGGACGGTTGCCATGTGGATGGCGCTGTGCCCATGCAGGGATCCGACCTACAAGGCGGAAACAGATCCGCGCTGCGGAGCTAGCAGCCACACGGTTCGGTCTACTGAGCGGCTCTTGCGGATTGTGTGCATCGCCAGGGAGGTCGACCACTTGGCTGCGTGCACCCTTTGTCACGCGTTAAAGCTTCCAAATCCTGCAGCCACGCAAATGCCAAAACCCAGACACTCCAGCTGCCGCCTCAACCACGAACTTCGGCATGCCTGCACCAGCTCATGGGCAACTGAGTAGTGGAAGCCGGCTACTCTCGACTCTCGGCCTGTCAGCCATGGGGGCTCTGAGCACCTACATTGCGGGGTTTCTATGTTAGGAGAGCTAGGATTGGGGATTGTGCAAGGATCCTTTGGGCCCCGCCTTCGGGCATCAGAATGTCCAGGATGTTGGTGAAGAACCTGAGCTGTGTTGCGCCATCCTTTGGGCCCCTTGCAAGTCGAAGTCTCGGGCCTCCCTTGCTTGAAGGATCAGGGGACCCAGTCAGGAAGGTTAGAAGTACTTAAATTGGGGAGACGTGACTCTATGAGATAGCTACAAGTAGCATGACGACTACAGCCCTACTAACGGCTTCCCCGATTCTCGAAGTAGGCCTTCGACACCCACGGTGCCTCTGAGTTGCTCGGGTTTCAAGTTCGAGTGCGGGAAATTGGAGAAGCTCGGCCGGATCCCGTACCTGGCAAAAGCAGAAGAAGGACGGCCCCGAAAAGCTCTACACACTGAACCCATAACACTGTTACACTTGTATCCTCAGGCAGCTGTTTAGCGGAGGATGTCGGAGCCTTGACACCTGCGACAGGGTTTATTGGTGTTTTGCTGGGGAACGAACCCTCAAGACAAATTGCAATCATCATTTTTCAAGCTCCGACACAGTAACCTCCCAGCCCAGCCACCGGTTCGAGAAGCTGACAACTACGTGGGTGGAGTCGTTCCCATCTATGGGCCGGTGTCCGAAGAGCTCGGAATGGAGATCCTGGCGTGGTTTAGAGTTGTTTTCAACCTGAGGCCCTGAGTTCAATTCCTCTTAATCCAAAGCCCTTTAAAGCCTAATTCCCAAGCGCATGTTGCTGTGATATGTTGAGTCTCGCTTAAGACTTAATGTTCTGGATGCTGTCATCCCGGGCTTCAAAGCTGAGTATACCATTCCGTGTCAGTGGATACATACGCGAAATCCAGCCAGCCGACTAAAATTCGAGGCTGTTTTTGGAGTATATTACACTGATTATAATATAAGAATTGCAGTGTCATGTCAGTAATGCTAAATTGTTCCTGGGGCATGGCACAGACTACTTCGCAAGTCTTTCATTCTCCAGTCTTGTCTGGAGTGTAGGAATCGAAATCGAGCCCTTGGATTATTGCCCTTATTCAGTCTTCTATAGCCCTTATTTTTTCTATTTGACGCTTCTTGCATCTTTCATGAGCCCTTCGGGGGCCTCGAACGTCGGCGTGCGGCCGACAGCGAGCGTCAGCAGCACCCATCGCCACGCCATGGGAATGCTAATCCAGGGCTAGGGGCTGCATTGTATTGAAATCTTCATACCACTCTATCAATTTGTGGGGCTTCTAGTAATAAAGAGGCATGAGTAATAAGAATAAGGTGCGGCGGTCCATGGTATAGTACTCATACATCAAAAACGGATTATGTGGTTGAAGGTTCTGACTAGCTATTCCTGTGGTAGCATGGTTTAATTCCTGTGCTCGCCAACAACCTCACCCCTAAACTACAAGCAATCAACGAGAGAAGTCCTTTATGGGATAGCTTGCACAGGTCCCAGGGTCCAGGATCAGCGTAGCTTCATCGACTATATGGGGGCCTAAGCATTTCGACTGGGGCTTCGGGGGGGAGATCTTTTCTACATAGGGAACGTGAAGGGGTCTTTCCGGGAGAATGCAAACATTCTTCGGGCAGCTATATTGCTTCTCAGCTGCTACGGCTCTCGGGGGCCAAGCATTCTGTTGGGAGCACCTAAACATGAACTTAGCAAGGTGGTATCCCTATAATGGTGTAAGTTTCATAGATTATGATTCCGTGCTGCTTTGCTCCCTAGTCTATAGCCAGGTGGCCTGATTGAGCAAGCAATGGACACGGAGTGCAAATCAAGGAACGTGCAGCGAGGGTGGAGAGAAGCTGGGGGTACTAGGGGTCTGCAGCTCCCACAGGACCCTGGGTACCTATGTGCGGGGATACTTGCACGAACCAGAACACACAATTCTTTTGGAAAGCTGGCTACTGCTACGCTATGAACCCCTAAACACCTAAATACGAAAAGATACCCAATTTAAATCCTAAAGCAGCACCATGCTTGACTCCCCAAGGGGCCATCCTTGAACCCTGCGAAAACGGCGAGCTGCCTCGATCCGCACCGTGGGCCCGCTTGATGGCCCTAGGCGTGCTCCCGAACTGGTCTCTTCGTAACTTTCTTGGATCAGAAAGCGCTCAGTTCAGGAATCTACTGCAAAGTCCTCGGGGACGGGAGAGAGGTTGAGGCCCGCAACTGTTTGGACTCTTGGGCTGTAAAGCTCCTTTCAGAACAGACTCCGGACTGGAGCCGAGTGAACAAACCAGGATTTGTGGGAGATGAGATAATAGTATGGGGACTACAAGGGGATGCGAACACGGCTAATAACTTTTCAGAGCTCCGAACTGCGAGCTTCTCCTATCTGATGTTGCTTTGTCTTGCCGTCTCGTGCTGCTTCCACCACACCGAATCTTGATCCTCAGTAGTATAGACTAAGCTAAACGTCAGCTGCAGTGCCCTGCGATGCAATTGTTCGAGCGACTCGATTTTTGAAATGTAAACCCTCAAATTTCGTAAGCCTGCCTTCTTACTGACAGGATCCGGGTAATCTGTTGAGGAAAGGGGGCGGCCCATCAGGAGCCGACATTCACCTTGTGCCAGTTTAGTAGTCAACCATATGGCCTGTGAGAAAGACCCTGCATGAACGGTAGGTTGGGGTAGTTCAAAAGGAGGGGGCACGGCCTGGCAGAAGTTCCAGGAGCCTCTCGACCTGTGGGGTCGGAAATGCCGGTGGAGGCTTCAGGGGCAGTAGGAGGCTCCATGCACGGAATGGAGGCTCTTACTTAGGGGACTCACTTCAGGCATCAAAGCAATGCAACACAAGCGCCGGCAAGAGGATCAAGCCCAGACTGACCATGCCTGCCCGCCCGGCAACGGTCTCTTCGCGGTCTCGGCGGCAGTCTCTATACATCCAAACCCGAGCACCAAGCCTCGCCCAAAACCAACCCTACCAGGTCCGTCGCAGTGTAGGGCAATCCCCAAGTTCTTCAGATGAACCCGTTGGGGGTTCAGTGGTTGGGGGCTTCAGGGTTTAGCTACTGCACTCAAGCAACTTTGCGAATGTTCAAAACTGGAGGAGGCACAAAAGGCTCAATTGGGCCGGAGATGAGCTCTGGCACACCTTTCGTCCGGCACACCGAGATGCACGACGTTGCAGAACATGCGTGTGGGCGGTTTGGGGTTCACGGCTTGGGGTTTGGGATGAGTGGGTGCAGAATCCCACAACTGCCAACACCCAATGATCAAGGTTGAGGGACAAACGAACCCTGCAAAAACATGAATCCTAAACTCACTTACCCATAAACGCCCTTGAAAATTGTGCACAACCGTTACAAAGCCCGAAGCAGGAAGAGAGCCCGAAACTTCCTAAGAGTGCCTGTCCGGCCACTTCCGGCGCCATCTTCGGGCGCTGGCCGGCCGGGAAGACCTGGTCTTCAGCTCTCAGGTTCAGGTTCAGGGCGTACCTGCTACGTTTCGTGGCTACCTGGTTTCCTATTTTGGTATCCTCGAATTACAAGCTGTTGACTTCGAAAAGCGCCTGTTTGAAGACTGCAGGTAGCGCCTTTTTGGGCCGGTGCGGAACTGTGTTTGAACGAGTTGTCTCGGCATGGTGTCTCCTAGAATGTATACGCTGGCTACAGCAGTAAAAACTTATACGCTGGACCGATGCCCTCGCTTGCAAAACTAGAACCCAGCTGTCGGCTCTCCCAAACTTGCAACTGCAGGTGAGCCTGACAATGACAAACCACGGCCTGTGCATCTACCACGACCTTGAAAAAACTGCTCTAGGGTCTGGCGTGAGCATTTCGAGTTTGGGTTTGTGGGGTTTACAGATGCTGCGTAAAGTATCCGACTTGCGGTGTAGGGTTCAAGAATTGGGTTGGGGGATCGATTCGGCCCAGAGGTTTATCATCTTTGAAGGCACTGTAGCCCCGGCCTCTTCTCGCTGCTTTCCAACAACCTAAGAAAGCGCGGGGAATCTCGGAGGTTCAAACCCACTGAGTCAACTTTCGGGATTATAAGTCTTATAAGGCTTACAAGGCTTACGGGTTTGAGGGTTTGGGGCTTTGGCGTTGGAGTTTAAGCATTGACGGCCGGTGACTGCATGCATGGCGCGAAAAAGAAGTGGAACCTCGGACTCTGCTTTCGAACCTACCTGTATTGCTTCTGGCCTCGTGTCTATACACCTTATCGTTTCGCTAGAAACCTCTCCTTCGGAGGCCTGAATGTGGGGATCCCTCTTCCAACTCCTATCAAGGAATGGGGCATTGCAATTTCGCAGGCCGCGCGACGGCCAAAGGTCGAAGGCAAGAAGTGATCAGGTTCATCTCTCGGAGGGCTCCATCTCTGCCGCTGTACATTGAAATTGAATTTCCAAACTAACCCTAATAAAGTGTATGGCTCATATCCCGTAACGGATGTAAAAATACTACACATACAAAACAGCATATGCGTCTGACAGTCATTGCTTAAGTAAAATTAAAGGCTGCAGCATCATCAGACCAGTTGTGGAGTTGGCGGCGCCACTTGGACAGCTTGCGATCGAAGTCGCGCTTGGAGCATTTGTCCATTGCGTTCGGGGTTCGGGGGTGCATTGGCCCACCTGAGCTGCTTTAGGGCCGATAGCAGCCAAGTTCACCTCCTACTGTAATTAAAAGCGATGTCGAGACGCTACTAAGAAACAGCACAGAGCTGTGTTCACACGTGGCTGTACCAAACGTAGCCCAGCCGCGACATTCGAATGGCACTTGCTCACGATAACGCAAATATTCGGGCCTTGCCTTGCCAATCATGATCTGGCGTGTGCGAGTGTACTTGCATTTCCCCGGCTCGTCAGATGTTGCTTCAAATGGTGCTCGCCTGCAATTCATGGGATCTTCTGCATGAGGCATGACAGAATATTCTGCATCTCCTGATGCAGGTGGCAGGTCGACGGGGTATCTCTGTCCGTCCTGCTCCTGGGTCTCCTCCTGGGTGTCACTGTCACGGAAATCTTCCGTGATGGCCTGTTCTGGACCGAGAAGGTAGGCGGTTACGGCCTGCTGAATCCGCTCTGCCAGTTGTTTATCCTTCTGCAGTTGGGTCCACCCCCTCGAAGCAGTGTCCGTTGCATCCAAGCTTTCAGGCATCCGATTTTGGATGTTCGCCTCGTGATTGCTCCTCTTCTTCCTGCTTCGGATAGGCGAGGGCACTTGCTGCTTGTTCGTCGCTGTAGTCTTGGCAGGCATGGGCTCCTCTCTCTGAGTGCAAAGAGAAGCCGTGAGCGCTCCACTGCTCTGCAGCCCACCTTCAGCCGACTTTACGCTTGCTCGCAGCTCAGATATCGTTCGATGACTCTCTGCAAGCACCTGGTTTTCGAGCTGGAAGACGCGCCGGCGGCCCCGCTCCAGCTGGAGCAGCAGGAGCAAAACACCGTGAAGCCGATCCTCGATCAAACTAGATCGTGTTTGGATTGTTGCCGTCAAACGATCTGATCCCTCACTCAACATCCTCAAACCCAAGATTACCGAGAGTCAGGTGCTCCAGAGGAAACCGCAGGCACAGGAGTGCCACGTGTTCTGTTTCCGGTCGCCGTCGCAGGTGGCTCCATCAGACTTTCTTCATGACCCGAGGCAGACTTTGCAACAAGGCCCGTGGCGACCTTCCTTGCTAGACGTTCTGTGACATTCATAGGAGCTCACGTACCCATGGTCTATATGAACAGCAGAAGCCAGCACACAGAAAAGCTTGTGGCGACCTCTCACTCAAGAACTCAACCCTAAACTCAAGTAAGCGTAAGCCCAAGACCCAGGCCCGAAGGCCCGAAACCCTGAACGACTGAGCTGCCTGTAGCTCTCGGCCAGCACCCGGTTTTCCAGCTGGAAGACGTGCAGTCGGCTGTGGCCCAGTTGGAGCAGAAGGTCGTGCAGCCGGTCCTCGCTCAGGGCTAGGGTAAAAGCTTGGGGTCCAGAATTTACCGGCTGCATAACGGTTTAGCGTTAAAGCTTGTAAAGCTCTTAAAGGACTCAAGGCGCTTTCGGGTTTAGGCTAAAGATTAAGGTTTCGAGCACCCAGTCCTCATGGACCTGTCCCGATGCCACTTTGGGCTGATCGGGTGTCCCGGACTCAGCGGCCCTGGCGAATGGCTCAAGGTAACACCGACCATCAAATCATCCATCCATCAATCCATCCATCTACCTATCCATTCGTTCATGTTCATCCATCCATCTCTTCATCCACGTCCATCCGTCCACCCGTCGACCCGACGACCGGTGCAGCCATCCATCAATCCATCCAGCCAACCAGCAAGCCACCCACCCAGCTACGTCCATCCATCCTTGCATCCTTGCAAACCCAAGGGCCAATGAACCTGACTAAAATCTGTGCCATGCAACCTCACAACAACCCAATCCCCGCATCAACAGCATCACATCGCGCCATCTAAACGACGTCATGACATGTCATGACCCACATACAATCCGACTCCAAACCACCTCCACGGGCAAAACCACCCACCGTGCATTCGGGAAAAAAGGATCATAACATCTAAGCTTCTAGTGAAACTCCCAGATCGCAAAAGCTAGGCTCAACAGAAACACGATAGAACCTAATTCCGATCACAGCTGGGGTGCCACGAGGTCTTCCCCACATCCTCGCTGGCCCACAACCTCGCAGCAAGGCCGCCAGCGATGGCACCGAGCCCTGCCCCAATGGCCACACTCACCATAGTCGAAGAGCTGGTGTCTCAAATGGGAGCCAAAAGCTTCATGATACAGAGTTCTGAAGACTTCGCGTCAGCATCCGCGTTTAACGTAGTGCCAAGCTGAATGGCTGGCTCCTTTGGGTGCTGCGTGGCACCATGCCAACCGAATGGAATTAAACTGCAATATGTTCAAACCCAATCCTGTAAGGCGCCTACTGCAAGCCGACGCTGACAAAACCTTCACCCCCCGGACTTTACGCACTGCTCTGACTCTCCGAAAGGACGAAAGACACATGAGACCTCAGGCCTGCAAACCGCCGGGACAGGCCCGAAAGCTCTTCCAGGGTTCTATCAGCGTGCTCTGAGGATTCTGAGGGCATTTAGGGTGAAGGGTTCAGGGTCTCTTGCCAGTTTAGGGCTCTACGCTAACACATCCAGATCCTGAAAGCCTGCAAGGCTAGTTCCTCTTCCAGGTTAACGAAAGTTATGGCTGTGATCTAAGCTAGAAGGAACCACAATTGAGAGCAAACCTGTTGCTGGACCAAGCAGCCAAGCTCTTCAGCCCGTCGAAGCAAAAAAAAGCCTCTGGCTTCGGGGCTTAGGACGGAGCGGTTTGCTTCAGAAGTAGCGTACGAAATTGGGGCTTCTAACGCTTGGATCATCAGATCTTTGGAGGGATTCTCAAGAGTCTCACCTCTGTTTGCAAACAATCATCGGGCTGGGGGCTGCGGTTGGTCCGGGCAGTCTTCGTCACGGGCCTCTCTCTCGCTTCACCTAATTACTCCATCTGTCAGCAACAGAAGCTCCAACCCAAACTGAACCCTGCACAATAAACCCTACCATGCATTATCCCGAAAAACACCCACCTCCCTTTTCCCCAACTCCCGGAAGTCGTGCTAAACCGAATTCGGGCCAAGCCTCCGATCGCTTGGACCCAGACCTGGGGGGTCATGCTGTTGTGGATTTACAGTGTATCGCTGTATCCTTGTTTAGGGTGTAGGTTTAGGCTTGAGACTTAGGACTTAGGTCTCGGGCTTTCAAATCCCCGAATCCCGAGTGCCTCGCAGCCCATAGAAGCCCATACTAAAAAGCCCCAACAGACTCGCGCCGCAATGGAACTTGCAGATTCAGGGGTTTAGTTGCCTTCAATTCCAGGGAGCCTCTTGGCCGCGTCACTCATGCGGAGGCGCAGGGCATCACCGTCGGTCCATGGGCCCAGGAGACTCTGACTCTGCGGGGGAGAGGCTCGAAATTCTTCCAAAGAGCAGAGTTGTTATCCAAGGGCTTTTGGAGTCCGGTCTGCTTTTGCTGGTCTTCTGATCTGCAGGAAGGGGTTCGGGTTTGAGGTCTGGGGAAGAAGGAGATTGGGACCAGGCTCGCTGGTAGTGGGGGTGGAAATGTTGGGAGCTGCCATTTGCGAAAGCTCTGTGAGCTGAACACCTGCAGATGCGCAGTAACCCAGCAGTGGGTTTCGCTCTTGCGAGAGGCGTGGACCCCTGTCGACGTTTGTCATTGCGAGTGGCACGAACACTGGCTGCAAAGCACGTAGCAACAGGCCACGATGGCCTGGCACGACTTGCGGGCATATTAGACATTGCACTGGCCTGGACCTGAACAGAAGACCTCTACCCATGCTCAAGCACATCAAGGCTAGTGACACGTGCAGCACTACGAGCACCATCTTGGAAGATCGCAGGCATAGAGCTAGGCTGACCATAGGCATCTCGGGACTGGAGGCTATCGGAGCTGAGCCTGCTCAGATTCCGACTCAATCGTCATTGAAACTTTTTCTGAGCAACTTCACCACTTTGCACCTACTTGTGAGGAAAGTGTGCCGGTCAGGCCAGCTGCCAACACTAAACTTCAACCCCTGAACTACTTGCCTGGTCTAGATTCCCCAAAATCCTGTTCTGGCAGCTGGTGGAGGACACTGCAATCCCGCGTTTCAGAACTCATCTGGGAACTGGAGCTGAAGTGTCGCTGTAGCAAAAAAATCTTTGGAAGGAAGCCGGCGTGCAGCACAGGTCCCTCGGGTTGCTTTTCTTTCCGATCGCAAAAGACAGATTGGGATGGAGGCTGAGAGAGCTGAATGAGTTCTACGGCTCTGAGGGACCTGCGCACAGACAACCGTGGATGCTTCACCCCACTGTGCCAGCCATGAATTCCTATAAAAGGAAAAACCGCTTCGGAGTTATGCTTATCCTGCACACGCGCTCAGTGATCTGGGTCTCTTCCGTGCATGTTGAGACAATCTCATGTCTTTTGGCAGATATGGAGGCGCCTCCGCCAGCTCAGAAGACCTTCGCAACACTGCCGTGAGAATCAAAGCACCAGCCACCTACAGCTCCCACACCTTGAAGACCCCATGGACACTGAGAGCTCGAATCCTACACCCCACACTCTGGCTGGAAGCCTTCGATGCGAGTTCCACCCTATAACAATCTCTTTATAAGTCTACAAGCCTACTAATTACAAGTCCTGCTAGCACGATAAGCCCTCTGAGCTGCAAAAGCCCTACAAGCCCGAAACAGATCCCTGAGGGCTAGACGGGTTTAGGGTTTAGGGGTTACGCGGCCCTACACGGAAAAACCAAGAGCAATAAGTCTCGGTCCAGGTGCCGCTGTGTTTAAGCCCACCTGGCGGGCTTTGAGCTGCAGTGCGAGGTGATGCGAGTGGAGGCGGTTTAGCCTCAGAACAAGGCTGCATGAGATTTCGGTTCACGAGTTGGGCGCGAAGCTTGTCTTATTAATGCGGTGTAAATCGCTTCCTGAGAAGATCTGAGCAATTTCCAGAGCCGACTCAGACGCAGCTCGGCAGAGGTTTGTCCAAGGACAGCCGCGGCACATGAAGTTGCCCCCATGCAGCCAAAGATTCTCCTCAACAGGCTCAGAGTTTCTGTACCAGGACTAGGAGTTACCATTACGGTTTGGGCAAGTATAATGGTCAGTACTTTGGATCCCCTGGCAGGGACGGAAGATCTCCGCAGGCTTCGTCTTCCAAGTTCCGATGCCCCCCCCCCCACAAAAAAAAAAGCTGCCCGCAAAAGGGACTCAACATACTTAGTATTGCTATGCCGTGACTTACTGTAGTCACGGTAGCAGAACATGCAGACCCTGTTCAAATGATTAATGCCTCTATATGAATCAGACTGCAAGTAGGAGCTGAGCATAAGACACACTTCTGCCAGTGCACTCGCTGAAGATCCCCGAAGCATCATTCCACAAACTCTGGCCCAAGACTGACATGCCGCACTACGGCTGGGCAGGCCGTGACAGGGTTTGGGGTGACTATACTCTACGGTTACTACTAACTTTTTCAGGCCCTTTATTCGGAATTTCTCGAATGCGCTGCCCCGCCTGGCCGGTTGGCTTCCACATGGCACGGAGCTCTCCTGGCCAAGTGGCTGCAGAGATGTACGACTCAAGGACGATATAGAAGGAGATTGCAGTTATGAAGACGAGCTTGACTATGTAATTAGCGTGTCGCACTCGCCTCTTATCTGAAGGTCTGAACTCTGGACACTTGGTGATGAACTTCCTGTATGATATGCTATACTCGTTTATGCACCAAAACAACCCCGATTCTGATCCTTCATAATGACCGCAATCTTGGCTTTCCTGTCAAGGAGGCAAGAGTCACCCAAGGCCCCCGGAAAGCATCCAAAAAAAGAAAGGGTCGGCGGGGCCGAGGCTGAGGTCATGTTCTAAGCTGATGCTGCTATTGAGGGTTCCGAAGGCTTGACTTGAGTGGAGTAGCGAGAACCCCAAGTTCGTTGCAAAGTCTCGCCGTCCTTCCCAAGGAGCCGCATCGCCGCGGGTGCCGGAACCCAGACCCCAAACCGGGCCCACCTGTCAGGCGTCCGGGAATGACCGGAAGATCAAGCGTCCGAAGCTGCAAAGAAACTATGCCGGGACAGTTTGGCTGGCGGTCTTGGGAGTTTAAGCCTAAGCTTTGCTCTGGCTTTTTGGTTGCGTTGCCCCTTCACGTTGACATGGGCCCATTCAAGGGCAAAACCCGACCATCCGACACCAACCTCAAGTTCACTACGAGTGAGGCCTCAACAAGAGTAGGGATACGGTGGGTGAAAGTGGCACACACACGCCACTAGCGAATGCAGGGCACACGTCGCCCTCTTTTCTACCTGCAGCCGGCTCGGCTCTCTCTCGAGAGAATCCCAGACCCTGCGGCGATCACTTGTGAAAGGCTCACCTATCAATCATGCTAAATCCAATGTAAAAGCCTGAACTCGCACCAGTAACACTCCTGAGTCTTTCATAAAGTGCCGCATCTGGATCTACAAGGTCTTGCTCAGCAGCCCACGGGAAAAGGTTTTCATATGCAAAAGCTTGAACCTTATGCACAAAATGTGCTTCCACTTCGCGGATGCGCTTCTCATGCTCACGCTTCGTGAGCTTCCTGCCTGCAGTAAACTGAGGATCATATATGGTCAGGCGTCTGGCGTTCCCACCCCCCCCCCCCCCCCAATGGTATGGTCTGACAGGGGTGGGGGGGGGCCTGGCGTGTGCGGAAAGGGGTTGGGGCAGTTGGAGCTGCCACTGGATGGTGGTGCAGGCGGCCAGGGCTCACGCGCAAGCCCTTCGCAAGCAAGCCGTAAACCCTATGACGCAGCGCGTGCCCGGTTTTGAGCAACCTTAAATTGTACTTAAAACGCTACACCCAACCCTAAACCCCACCTAACTGCAGGCTCTAAGCCTAAAGCAGAGCATACAAATCCTCCCTAAGCCCTTGTCGACTATACCTTGTAGCCGTAAACCCCAAACTCAAAAGCTTAAGCTAAACCCTAAACCCAAAACCCCACAACCACCCACAGGGGGAAGAGGAACCCCACACCCACACCACAGGGGAGGGGGGGGCCCCACCCTTTTTCCGGACCATTGACCTTTGGGGGGGAGGGGGGGGGGGGCTGCGGAGCGCGTGACCATATATGAGCCTCCACCTCTCAGACATGAGCTCCAGCAGGACCTTCTTGGCCTTGCCCTTGGTCAACGCGTCTGCCAGCTGCTCAGTGCCAGCGACCCATCTCAAATGGGTCCCGCATTCAACAGCTCGCTTTACAGCAATCGTCAACTCATATCCGGATCGGCTGCTTCTGAGACCATGAAGAGCACTGGTGTTCCGCGTCATGGCATCGTAGATGCCACGGGAGTCCATCACCAGGGCCCAAGTAGTCTTTTCCTTAACCATCTCATTCTGACGGCCCCTTATCGGAGGATATCCATGGATCTCCAGCCAAACACACCGAACAAGGTACGTCATGTCCTCGCCTGCAGTGATTGCTTGCACCTCGCTGCCATTGGAGCCGAGGACTTCACGTGGAGCCTTTTGGCTCCGCCATGCCACGATATTCATCGGAACGCGCTCTCCGTCCAGGATGCGCTTTGGAGCGATGCATGTCAGCATCCCAATCGTGCTGCCCCGGTTCACCCGGTTATTCTGCGCAGCATCTGACCAGGTCACAACGCATAGGTCCTCCCAGCCTTCATCGAAAGGATGAAAGATCAAGGTCTGGTCCGCCATGCGCTTTGCCTCCCGCGCAAGATCAGGTCGACGGTGGCCGTCGGGATCTCCGAGAGCATCAAACCCACGTCAGCAAGGAATTGTGGGCTCACTTGGTTGGCCCTCCAAGAGAGAGTACCCAGAGCACCCCGAATCTCACTGATCTCCTGAGCAGTCGCCTTCTCCTTTGGTCGAGAAGCTCGCTGAGGAGAAATTGGAATTTCCTCCATCCAGCGGTCGGTGTAGACCTTCTGGTCCATGAAGATGGTGCCATCGGGCTTCTGGACGATATTGCACCCGGCAAACTCGAAGGCAGATTCTTCCCACTTGCCCCACTCAAAAGCTTGCTGTAGTGCAATCTTGGCAGCCATAAAGATCTCACTCTGACGATCTCCGCCAAGAATGAAATCATCAACATGGCATCCAGCGATGCCCACCAAACGGTTCTCCTTGTCCAGCAGCACGAACATGCACTTGTCGAAGGCAAGCTGCCTCCATCCTGACTTGCGGAGAGTCTCGGCCACAGTCTCGAACCATGCTCGTGGGGCATGACACAACCCGTAGAACGCTCGTTTGAGCTTAAGGACGGTGAAGTCGTCCGCGCCTGAGCCTCCGAAGGCAGCTCCTAATTCAGCAGGTGCTTGAATGAAGAGATTCTCATCCTCGAGGTCTTGCATAGCCTGTAAGAAAGCAGAGGCCACATCCGCGGATTCAAGGATCCACCGGTTCTTTGCAACGACCGTTAACAGTAGCATGCGCCCAAGCTTCGAGAGTGTAGGCGAAGAGGCCTGGCTCTCCACCAAGTTGGGAGATTGGAACCCAAGAACCACGAGTCGAGCTTTCGCTCGCCCATCGGATTTCACCGTGAGCACCCATCTCATTCGCATCACTCGCGACCAGTCCAGTTTCTCCTTCTCATGGGTGAGAAGGCTCCTCACCGCAGCATTCCTGATCACATTGGAGATCTCCTTGGACTGGGCCTCATCAAAGGCAACCTTCTGCTCGTGAGTGAGGGTTTTCCAATTGACCTCGCGCCCTTTCTCGAGAAGTTTCTTGGACATCCACACTGTAGACTGCCGAGGCTTTCCAGCAAGATGTTGCCAGTCCTTGTCGGTCATGTTGATCTCGAACATGTACCCAGTCATGTCATCTGGAGCAGCTGGCTCTTTCCGCTTGCGGTCTTTACGTCCTTGTCCGTCAGGAGGACGTGGTGGAACATCAGGGACCATCTCGCTGTCAGTGCTGTCGGCAACAACTGAGGTCTCCGCATCAGACGCTTCCACAGGAATCATCACCTCCGTGCGCTTGTCGTACATGAACTTGTTGCCACCAGCATCCACATGAGGTAATCGATGGCCACCGGGTAGTTTGCATCCAGGAACAGAACAACGAGGATCTGGTACAGCCCCACTGCTAGACGCGGCTTGACCCCGCTCGGTGTACCCGGAACTGGAGTACCTGGTGTAGGAGTGCCAGGAACCAGACGACCAGGTAGGTCAACTTCATTATCTAAAGGACCACGAGAGGATTCCGGAGGATCTCGATGTTCAACAGAGGCTTCATCCTGAGCCTGGCTTCCTGATGCACTCGCGGTTGCCGTAGGCCTCGAAGGTAGTTCATCACGTTTGCGTTCTTTCTGGCGTCTTGTTGATACAGAGGATTCCGGAGGATCTCGAGGTTCAACTGAAGCTTCTTCCTGGCGAGAGCGACGTTGAGGAACGGCAGCGGGGTGACTGGCAGCCAAGCGAAAGCGGGTCTCACCAGTCCAGCGATCCAGCAAGCACCTGGCTGGATTCTCGTGTGTCCGGAAGTTGTCCTTGATAACTTGCTCATTTCCTCCGCTCCGAACAACGGTGTGTCGCTCGCCATGTAAGTCCTCCTCCTTCACCGGAATGTTCTTCACCTTGCCCGGAACCAGCATTGCAAGCCGTGGCTGGGAGTGGATACGAACCAGCCATTCGCCTTGAAACTCCCATTTGTCACCACTGCGAGATCGTGGAAGGACTTGAACAGCTGCCTGTGCCGGATCTTCCACAGCATCTCGTGGAGGCTGAAGACCAGTAACGTCCTCGTACTGCTTGCCGCGAAACCCACGCATCAGAGTTTCCAAGGTCACCGGCATACGATAGACAGCGGCACCGTTCGTGATGGCGGTGGTCTCCTCCACTCGCGAACATTTGCGAAGCTGGTTGCTCTTCGCTCTTATCAAGGCGGCCCCAGAGGCAACCCAGTATGTCGAATTCTCCCGTAGTAGGATACGAACTGGACCCTGCCATCCACCGCGCCCGTTGGCACGTCTTTCTCGCCAGATCATGGCGAGTGTTCCCGGTTCGAACACCTGTGGTGGACGACTGGTGGTGTTCCCCAGTTTCGACATCTGGTCCGCCGCCTGTGCCCGACGATAGGAGATGGCGGCTTGCTCTCGGAACTTGAGGGTTTCCTCGAAGGCTTTCTTAGGGTTCACGCCCTCCGGCACCATGTCTGAAGGAATGGCCCCGCGGACCCACTGAAACGGTGAGTATCCAGACTGGTGTTGTATCGTGGAATTATGTGCATGACACTCATAGTGGAACATAGAAATGACAGACAAATCGGGGTCCTCCTTGATCATGCGGTCGACGGTAGCCTTCAAACGCCCGATCAACTGCTCCTCGTGACTCATGAGCCAGTGTGCCTCGGGAGGAGAAATCAAGAGGCCAATGCCACTCCGGCCATAGAAGTCGCGCATCTCCTCAGAGGTGTAGTAGAGGGCAGAGCCGGCCATCAACCACCGAGGTGCCGGACTCGTCATCATCCAATCGCGAAGAAACACCCTCGTGATATCCGCCGTAGTTGGTTCCCAGGCCTCCTCGTAGATCTTGAGGCCGCTGACCACACAGTATCGAGAGGCCCGGTCGACCCAGACGCATCCTTTCAACTTCTTGACCTGGCCGGTCTCAGTCTTGAAGGCATACTCAAAGACGTCGGTGCCACAGATCTCCCACAGAGAGGGTGGCCCTTGTGTCGAGGAAGGTGGATGTGGTAGAGGTCGTCGTGCTTCCACACAGGCCGGGCATTCCATCGACTTGGTCAGCTCAATCGCCCAGCTCGGAGCACCGCGGCGCTCCAGCAACTTGGCAATCCGGATAAATGTCCGGAGGAACGGTGCAGCCGAAGCACCATCTGCTTGATCTCCGTCGAGCTTCTTGCCAGTAGGTGGCTCCACCGGGATCTTCTGCCGAGTGAGGGCAAACACCTCTTGAGAGGAAGAGGCTTGATACTTCCTTGAAAACCACTCTTGCTGAAGAAGCTCAGTTTCCACGTCGGCGGCCAAAGTGCGCACACCATGCCTGGACTGTAAAGTCCAGAACAGCGAATCCACAATTCGCTTTTCCATTGCCTTCGGGAACCATCGAGGGTCACTGCAATGTTCACATCCGCCATGGTCCTCGACATGTTCATGGTGTCCCGGGCAACGTCGTTCCAGGCCGATCTTCACAGCCTCGGAAGTCGTCATGATGCGCCACTCTTTCATCACAGGGATGCCACCGCATTTCATGCCAAAAGCACCCCGTGGATCTTAAAGTCATACACAGTCATCCCATGTTCGGAGGCGGCATCCTTGAGGTAGGAGATCTCCGACCAGCAGGCTCTCAGCTTCGCCGGCATCTCGATCACGAAATCTCCTCCTCGTTGCAGTCCACGAGCAATGCATCCACAAAGTTTCATGAGCCCACTCCGTTCCCGTCGAAGTGCCCGCTCATGGTTCCGCACCTGACTAGGAGAAGCCATCTCCCGGTGAAAGGTGCGTTGCATATGTGCCCTCATAGGTGGAGAAGCCCAGATGACCTTGGAGTCGAGGTTGGTCGTGTCCTTCTCGAACTTCTGGAACTCCTCGGGCTTATAGAACATGGCCTCGTAGCCTCCCTGTACAAGGGACTCACAAAGAGAAGGTGGCCCGCCGAACTGAACCACATCAGGCGCAACCCCAATACTTGCAGTCAGGGCCGCCGCTTCGGTCATAATGGACCCGATCAAAAACATACTCCCTTTTGCCAAGGAACGTTTCAAAGACGAAGTCAAAGGCCGTTCTCGGCGGGCCGAAGGGAGAGGGACACCGGTCGTCTCGACAGGTAGTGCTTGTGAAGATTAGGGACACCGGCCGAATCGGCAGGAGTGTCCTCGTAGTGCTCGTGGTTGTCGTGTGGGGTCCCCATTCTGGCCTCGTTCGGAGGGCCTTCAGTCTTCCCCAGGGCCCAGAGTGAGCCGATTGGCCCTTCTGAGCGTCGATCAGCTCCACCTGCCCAGCCTCCCAAGAGTCGCCGTCCTCCTCCATCAGACCACGGAGGGCAATTTCTTCCATCAGCTTGTCGCGCTGGGCTTGCATCCGCTGCTGCAATTGGCTGATCTCGTAGAGGCTCTTGTGAATCTCTTGGTTGGAGAGGTTCACTGGGGACACCTCCGTCTCCTCGCTCCCTCGGGCATCGTTGCCCTTCGCCGTGGTTCGGCTCTTCTTCACCGCGGACGCCTTCGGCTGCGAGCCCTTCACCCTTTCCTCCGCCGTGCTGGTAGTAGCCACCGTGGGTGTCCTTGTCGTCGTTCGAGGCGTTGGGGTTGTCGATGATGTAGGTCCCGGCGTCTTTCGAACCATCGGCTCCCGGGTCGTCACATTGTACCCCTGCTGCCTCAGTCTCCCGGCCACTTCCATGCACTTGTCGTTGACATGCTTCTCCGTCACCTCTGCCTCCATCTCCATGCGAATCTCCCCGATGGCCGTTGTCAGCACCGTGTTGCTCGGTCCGGCCTGTCGGTAGATCCCCTTGTAGCCCTGCTTCGGTGTGTACTCCAACCTCAGGGCACATCGGGAGCACGTCCGCCACGTCGCATACTGGTTGTTGCGGTAGCGACCCGGCAGCTGTTCCATCGAGGATCGCTCTCGGGCGCTGGCAGCAACGGCTCGCTCATGCTGGCGTTCGCGAAGGGAATCGAGCTTGAGCCTGAGCTGTTGGAGACCAACAGGCATTTCATGAGGTGGCTCATGAGGTCGTGATGCACCATGTGAAGAAACTCGCTCAACAGGGAAGCACCAGGCTGTCGAAGCACATGAGCATGACATGGAACTGCAGCAATCTCCAGAAGCATGTCCGACAACCTCAAAGGGGAAACACTCCTTTTCTCGGACCTCGATCATCGAGTGCAAGGCTTCCCCTAACACAGGAGGAGCATTGTCTTCCTCGGTGCCAGGTATGGTGGCACCTCTTCCACGTCGAGCTTCATCAGAGAAGCCCGGGGTAGACAAAACAGCCTTCACGTTACAGGACTCCAATGGCATCTGCACCCCGAACTTTTCAGCCAGGTACGTCTTCACAGGCCCCAGGCTGCGGCTCGACGTCGCCAGGTTGACAATCAGATGTCCCCCCGGAGTGGACCCAAGAGGAAGAAGTCGCAATTCACCTCCTCGCTTCTGGAACATCAGAGTTCTGTCTCCATAATTGATCACGGCCTGGAGCTCGCGGAGGATCCGACCGCCAAGAAGAAGAGTCTCCTGGCTGCTGGCATCATCAAGAAGGTACACCTGCATCAAGCCAATGGCGGCCGTCACCACATCAACGCGAGAGGTGGCCTGAAGTGTCCTCCCGTTGCCGAACCTGAACACTGGTCGGTCCTCGAGGGTGACGCTGTAACGGAACTTGGTGGCATTGAGAAAGCGCTCCATGGTCCCGATGCCACATGCCGACTCCGTTGCTCCAGTATCCAGGATCACTTCACCCCCATTGAGCCGCCCTTGTGGAGCATCTTCGCACGAAAGAACATATAACCATGCAAGGTTCAGGGGCCGCTCGCCGTTGTCATTCTCCCTGATCGTCTCGTGCGGCAGGTCCACGCGCTCCAGGACGTATGCCGAGGCATACCCGAAGTCACGAACATAGGCATCAGCACCTTTGTTCTTGGATCCCTTTTGGCCTGGCGGGCCTTTTCGGCCCTTTCCTTTGAAGCCCTTCTTCCCGAAACCTTTTCCAGGCGAGCCTCCAAAGCCTTTTGCACGCGTCGGACACTCGAAGAAGCGATGCCCGGAGCGGCCACAAGAGGTACAGACACCTCCCTGGCCCTTGCCAGAAGGCTTTCCACGCCCTTTTCCGGAGGAAGGGCCCTTCTGCATTGAGCCTTTTCCGCCCAAAGGATAGTATCCTCTAGCTTGGCGTGCCTTCTGTACCGCATCCCGGGCCTGCTGGAGAGTCTTTTGAGCTTCTTCCGCTATGGCAAAAGCTTCTGCCTCCTCTTCAAGAAGGGACTTCTCCTCCTCGCCCGGTGGCCCGGCATCACCTTCTTCATGAACTTCGTCAGGGGCAGGTTCCTCGCCATAGTAGGCCCATTCTTCTTCGCCATAATAGTAGGCGCTCCAGTCGTCTTGTCCGTCCTGCCAGTAGGCTTCGGCTCCTTCTGCCTCTTGCTCCCAGGACCAATCGTCCCAGCCATCGTTGTAAAAGGCCTCGGGTCCTGGCTCCACCCACCACGCCGACTGGCGCGGCCTCCTGGTCTGCTCCCAGCCCTCGTCGAACATGGTCCGGAGAGCCTGGCGCACGGGAACAAACTTCGTGCTGTTCTGCGTCAGCGTGAGGATTTGTTGGCGTTCTTGATTCTGCAAAGCGCATGCCGTCAGCAAACGGTAGCCTCGAAGTTCATCCTCAAAGAAGCCAACGCTCTCAGCCTGACCTCTCACAGTTTTCGACCGCGTCGAAGAGGTTGGGGACGAGGCTTCAGGTGCAGCTGACTTCCTCGTTGGGCTCCCGGCAGCATGCGGGAGGTCCTTCTTGTCCTCGTCCTCGTCGCCTGCTTCTTCGCCGTCGTCGGCACCAGGTGCTTCATCGTGATCCACCGTGGCACTCGGAAGCGGCTTCTGCCCACGGGCCCTCTGGAGGGACTGCTGGAGCTCCACGAAGAGCTCCTCCTCGCGAACGATAAGTTGAGGTATACTTTCTCCTTGCCGACGGTTCATATTGGACCATCGCTCCAGCCTCTGGAAGGTGTCGGGAACCGGCAGCCGTTGAAGAGGAGACCCTCGCAGAACATCTAGCAGCTTATCCAGCCCGTTGGCCGTGGCATAGACCTCAGGATTCAGGTTCCGAACCACGCTCTTAGCCGATCCGGTCAGCTTGTGCCACGCACGGGGTGCAGCAAGGTGTCGCTCCGTGCTCTTGAGAGAAAACTGGTACCAACGGCACTCCACAGCAAAGCGCTCAAAGGTGTTCGGGCTCCCGTCCCAGCTGGGAGCATCCCCGTCCTTCGGGCCACAGGACATCTCGCGAGCACAGAAAGTGCTCCTTCCGGCCACAGCTCTTTTGTAGCCCTTGTCAACGCAAAGTACACAAAACGGAGAATCGAGTAAAAGGGTTCGAGGGCTTCCGGCGTCTCGAAGGTCTTCTTGAAAGCAGGCCCCTGGTTCTCACCGAGGAGCTCCGACTACCATGAAAGTGGCACACACACGCCACTAGCGAATGCAGGGCACACGTCGCCCTCTTTTCTACCTGCAGCCGGCTCGGCTCTCTCTCGAGAGAATCCCAGACCCTGCGGCGATCACTTGTGAAAGGCTCACCTATCAATCATGCTAAATCCAATGTAAAAGCCTGAACTCGCAGTGGGCTTTAGACGACAAATGCCATCGGGACTACAATAACGCATTCGAAGCCTACATCACGCTTTCTGTTCCGGGTTCGTGAAAGTTCAGAGTTCAAGGCGACAGTGTCTGCCACTGCTCTAAACCTGGATTCTCCTGCAGAAGGCTTCGGGGCTGCTGCTGCAACCTTCAAGGCTGATGCAATTGCGCTTCCGGGCCCGCCTTCCGCGCAATCTCCTCGCCTCAAACAGACACGCCAGGTGGCTTTGAGTTCGGGAGTATAGTATTGGGCTGTCGAATTTGAATTTTGAATGCTGTCAAGCATGGACTTCCACCCTGCTTCTTGTACTGCAGACCGCGACGATTCTGAAAGCAGGCTCGCGGCTCAGAGACTCACAGGTTTGCGTGCGCTCACGCATGCTCACGGCTTCCCGAACCCTAACTACGCTTAACATGTAGCAACGGTGGGATGATGACTGGCAGGCTTGGACTGAAGCGGAACGGAGGACCAATTCGACGGTGCGAGATGCAACTTCCTTCCCGTACTGTGAGGGGAAAAGTTTTCGGATTCATCGATGGTCGAAACTGTATCGTTTCTATATAACTTCCAAAGTGCGAAACTCTACTTTACCCTTCTCTGCTGTACTGTGACACACTATACGCTGCCCGAAAACACCAGCCCGGGACTTCTTCATTAGTACAAGCCCCTATAGATAGTCGAGGTGCCGAAGATCTGCGCCAAGGGTTTGGCCATGGACTGGTAGCCTGGAAAACGCTACGCCCCTTAAATAACACAAACATACATACAAGCACACATAAGATAGAAAAGCCCCTAACGCAGAGGATTTGTAGTCTCTAGGGCTTTAAGGTTTCGGGGTTGGGCATGTGCATGTTTGTCAACTTTAGCTAGGGCTTGTGCTGTGGCAGCCAGGCTTCCGGCCCATCTGTTGGTTCAGGTTCTTCGAACTTTGCTTCGGACCTGTTTAACTCTTTGTCTCCTTGCAAAGTGTAGTAACAGTGTAGTAGCTCCAACCTCAATAGTCGCAACTTCCCATGCAAATTCGACAGGTTGGCGTCTGAGCTCCTACACCCTCATCCAACAAGCACCGATGTGGGCACCTGGGCCCTAAACATGCACCCTACCCTCGCTGCGGTCACGGCAAGCAATACTAAGGTTGGTGACAGTCAGCAACAACTGAACAGAATGGCACGACAATTGCAAGGGTTTCGTGGTTTCTGAAAATTAGGGGTAGCCAGGTCGGGATCCTTATGTGAAGGATGGGTCCGATTCTTTCTGGAAGCTCCCACATCTTCTCAAGAAGGCTAAGGTTGTCTACTCAGCTGCTGTGGAATTCCAAAGCCCTACCAGGAAAGGCCAACACGAGGCGCCTGTAGCCAAAATGATGACATCCGCGGATAGCATGGAGCCGTCCTTCCCCGGACAGTTTGATCTGGGTCGACTCGTGACTCACTCATCCCTGCACAGACGCAAGATTCAAATTCAGGGTGACAGTTTATAGGTTCTACGGCAAGTTCAAACTGGCTGTCCAGTCATGAAACTCCAACAACGCCCATTCGTCCTCCATTGCCAAACCACTCTCGCAGATGTGGTCAATGGACCCCACCTGAAACCAAGTGGCTTGGGATTGCAGAGTGCTGGGTCTCTGACAAATCCCGCCTCATCCCAATCCCGACACACTCAAGGCTTGCCGGTTGACAGGTCGGGCTGAACTTTTGATCGGAGAAGACAACAGCAGTCGGCCTGAGCCCAAAACGTAACCTGACCAGCCAGCCCTCGTGGCTAAGAACAAGGCCAAACCAGTAATGCCATAGACCCAAGAAGCTGCCAGGACATTCAGGCCGGCCCTTCTACTCTCCGGTTAAATGCCATCCCGCATTCATCCAAGCTGCATCAGGGGGCAAAGCTGCATCCCCTTCTCCTCATCAATCTGTATCAACGACAGTCAACCAGACAAGCCCATCCCACAACGACTAAAGATCCCCGAACCCCACAACAATGCAGAAACAAGTAGAGCCACCTTCAGCTTTATGCTGCCGTTGGCCACCAGCTCACATGCGCCGACATCGAAGTAGTAGCCTCAACTTGGGTTGTCGGAGAGTCAGAAGCGTCTTTAGTACAGTACATGTCGAAAGTGTATATAGAACGCAGGCACTTAGACCCCGATCTGCGGATTCTTAGTATCGGACCTCAAGGTAAACAAGCCTCACTTAGGGTGGAGGGCGCTGCGCCTGTTGCACACATCCAGCCAGCTTGTACTGAACCTTCTGTGACATTCAAACGGCCGCTGAAACTCTTGCAAACAATCAGGCATGAGGGGTTTGTAGAAATTAGACCGGTCACGGAAGTCTGAAAGAGATGGGAGGAACCATGATGGACAAAACCGGGTTGTGAGGCCGAGCCTGTGTAGTACCCTCTTGGAAGACAGCACGACCAGGGCTCCCAAGCCTACTCTTTGGAACACCGAACACCGCGGAACACCAAAGCCCCAAACCCCAAGGCAGGTTACTTTCTCACAGAGCAAGAATTAGCAACCGAGCCGGGCTGCCGTTGCCAGTGCGGAGGTACCTTGCCCAGGCTGCAACAAACCCGAAGCGTGGAAGGGGGCTCGGGGGGTGGCAAGCCAAGAGCACGGGGGGTTTATGGGTTAGGTGCCGAAGAACGGGGTTCAGGGCCGTTGCAACCAGGAGCTTGGAAATGGGGCGACACATGTCCATGGCGCAGACTCAGAACCCGAAGCATGAGACCTTCCATCTCGCAGCAGTTGACATGCCCCGCAATATTCCCCGGCTGTCGCAGGACAACCCCGCCAAGCAGCTTGACGAAGTTGCCAGTGTCGTCCTGCCCACAGAAGTGGCTGACGGTTTCAAGCCCGAAACCCTCAATCCCAGAAATCAGGGAGCCAGGGTCGAAGATAAGAATGTGGAGCTCTCTGCGCTCACCAAAGCAGGGAACCCTGGCTAAGCCCCAACGCCAGCTTTGCTGAAGCTCCTCCCCAAAGTCCATCTGGAACCCAACCTTTTCCAGCTTTTGCAGTAGCTCTCCTGAGCTCGAGTCAAACAGATTCCAACTACAAGTCTGATTCCACCGTAGGAATATACTCTACCATACTAGCTGTTCCCGTGTTCTGCTAAAGGACAACAGGGTAACCGAGGGACACTGTCTGTAGGTGTAGTGAGAAGCGAAGTAGTCAAACGACGCAGAGTTTCACAGACCTGGGCTTCGAGGCCTACGTCACGTGACATTCTGTTAGTCTCCGGCTTGTCTCAGCATCAACGGATCCTAAGAAACTAAACGGGAAATTCTTACACAAATCATAATCGTACCCCCCCCAATATGCATCAATCCTACAAAGCGAGCCCGTTGTCCCTCAGTTTCAGCTTCCTCAACACTTCGTGTCAGGCTAGCCGGCAGACTTTCACTTGCAGTTTTTCGCTGCGCAGGCCAGAACCCCCAAACCCAACAGTACTGGTCAAGTGCTGCACGCTCTTGCGAGCTTGCGCTCACAGTACAAGAAGGAATCAACGATGCCCCCGGTTGTCGCTTCAGACAGATCGACCATCCGGCAAACATGCCACAGTAGGCCATCACCTTTGCGACTGGCGCTCAGAAAGAGCAAGCGGTCCACTCTGTCGAGGCCATCGTTTCGTACACAAGTGGCTGGACATTCAGGCCGCTTTGATGCAAGCTGTTGAAGGCCCACGCCGGCTGGTTATCAAAGAGCTTATGAATTCTGGTGGCAAAAACATTCACACGATCAAGATGAGTCTCTGTCGAACTCTTTCATCTTCGAGCAGGTCTCCTGCGGAAGTGTTTGTGCAAGCCATCCCCAGCAGCACAAAGAGGCCCAGCCTGACCCGACAAACAGTCAAACATTCCTAAGTGCTGAGAGATATGCACACCGAGCTTCATGCATCTGCAACATAGCACGCATGTACGCAGCTGCCTACCTATATTATGCGGCACATGGACGCGCTGTATGCAGTAGCACGATATGACAGTACAGCGCACGATGCAGCATGACTTCAATTTGAAGTTGCGTGAAGGCACGGAGGAAGGGAGAGAGCGAACGGGGAGCGGGCGAGCGGGCAGAGGGACATACGTAGGGCAACGGCGGAAGGGCGAAAACAAAGGTTGAGACACAAGGCCAGAGAACAACACACGCACGAATGAAGGCTGGCAAGCAGGAAGAGCAGAGAGCCCAAAGGCAGACATACATCTTAAAACACAAAAAGGCCGGCAAACCATGAAACGCAAAATTGAGTACTGCTGGACATGTGTCATGCTGGCCGATGGCATGCGTGACATGCACTGCGCATGCCACTACACCACAGTAAATGCATCGACTAGTTATCACCAACTTTGCCCCCCAAACCGACCGTATGTCATGTGCAAAACCGATCCTAGCCTAGATGTTTCCACCACCCAAATGCTTCAATTAGCCCGAGGACTACGTTCAAGCCGTTCGATTTCTTGCAGTCATCATGAGCCAGTGCTTCCGAACCTGATCCGACATTTCTCGAGCTCTAGCTATTCTCACCACCATGAAACCCGAAATTGATAACATTCGAAGATAGTCGTACCAAAACCAAAAAGAGGACCACTACTAAGGCCCGAAGCATGGCGTCAGCTAACGGAGCTCTAGGACCAGACCTTCATGCCCTCGGTGACCACTGCATAGGGCTCCGATGCAAATTTCAAGTCCGCCTTCTCGGTCGTCATGCCCGTGGCCTTGAGAGTTTGACAGACTGCCGCTCTACCCTCCAAGGTGATTCAGCCTTTAGCGCAAGCCAAGTCGATAGTTCAGGTACTGTACGGCTGCAAGAAGGTAGACAACAGCAGGAAGGAACTACAGCCGAGCGTCTATAGGTAAGTAGTGTGCGGGCCAGCAAGGGTCTTGAGGCATAGATTCCTGAACCTCTACGGTTTGTTCAGACTTTCAGCATTCGGGTGTGAAGGGCAGCACCCTCTACGACAGATCACCCGTCTCCACACTTTCAGGATGCAGCTTAGCATCCAGCGCTTCCTCAGAATAGAGGTCCTGAACATCAGGGACATCAATATGGAACCTTGATAGTTGAATCCTGATTGTGAGGATCCCTTATGTTACAGACCCCTCATCATCCAATAAGGACCGGCTCTTATAAGGGACGCTTGTTGTGAGGAACCCTTCTGCGGAGGGCCGATTTGCTTGAGGAAGCTCTCCATATAGGGATCCCGAACTGAAGAAGGACCAAGAAGAGTTGTCTTTGCGAGAAAATGTGGCCAGCGATAGACCCCAAAACCAACGCCCCTGGGTCCTAACCTCTTTGGCCCTCAAACCTTACATAAGCCCGAAACCACACAGCCATGAACCCTCAAACCCGTACACAGTGGACCCCGAAAGGTTTATAAGGCTTTCGGTTGTATCTGCATTAATTACCACCTGGTGTTTTGCATTTTACTACAAATGTCAACCCTCGGAGACCCTACGAAGAAGGCACAGGAGTGCTTCTTATGTACGGGCCTTAATCGGATCGAAAGTCTTCGTCAAAATGAAACAACGTGACATGTGATGACTCATGACTTCATGTAAACTCAGAGCTGAATGTGCTGCTGGAAGTTTATCAACGACATGTGAACAGATGGGCTAACTGCAGGGGGATTCTAAGGGCTGACCTCCTGTGTATGTCAGATCCATGGAGACCTTGGGTCCAGTGGTGAGGAATTGATTGGCCGTAATTCGGAAGTTCGAAACACAAAATGCCATCTAAGTAATCCTGCATCCCTAAATCCCTCAATCCTGAATCCCCACAACCCTGACCCTAAAACCCCCTCAACCCGAAACCCTAGGCCCAAAGCTCTGCAAGATCATGTGAGATGTCTTCGCCTTCAGGAGGACCTCCCTCAGCGCTGCGGCAGAGACGATGGTTGTGGAGCCGCGCTGGAGCATGGTAACGCAAGCCTGTGTGGTCCGCGGAACCGGCATCACTGCTATGGATCATATGACATCCTTAGAACTGCTTGTATTCTTCCAACATGTCAGCAACAGGTCGTGCAAAAGAAGTGTTGTGAGCCTCTCTCCTATGCCACGAATCGCCTGCCCAAAGCTCTCAACGGAATCTTAAGAATCTTGCACTTCTCGGTTTGTGGGAAGCGACGATTAGGGTCAGGGTTTGGGGCTCAGGGGATAAAATAGAAAGTCCTCGTGACCCTCGAATCAATTCCCAAGCTCTGCCTCTCGAATCTGGTGACACTAAGACTCGCAGACTGCACTTATTTCAAGGAGGTGCATCATGCTCCCATAGATCTTGGCAGATATCATGTGCCGACGTGTTCGATCCCACCACGACGACGTTCCTGAGCCACGGATCAAGGTCTAGATTCTCACATTGGGCTCGAACTGTATGGTCTACATGCACGCTGATTGATGTGCGAAGGTATTGCTCGGAAGGCTCTATGATACGACCATCCTCAGAAACTGAGTCGATGACAGTCTTTCTGTAGCGCTGCAACTCGTTCTGAAAAGCTGCCGCGGCTAGGACTGTTGACTGAAAATGCAGGCTTCCACGCCGTCCAGTGTTGGGGGGCCGGGCCTAGCCTATGTGTGACAAGAATTAAACCCAGGCTCTTTCCAGCGAAAGCAGCGGCTCCCTGGTACGAGGAGGAGTGCATCAACTCGCCTCGGAAGTTCTCAGATCCTCAGTTGCACAGGGTTTAAAGCTATTAGGGGCGGCTTTCGGGCGTATTCGGGTTTTGGGGTGAGCATTCTGAGGGCTTAGGATTATCGGGGCTTGGGGCCACCAGGCCCGGAGTTTTGGGTATGCTCAACGTTTCTAGAGCATATTGGGCATGAAGCTCTACTGGGTGTGCTGGGAAGCCTCACCGAAGGATCCATGGCCCTTGCATGCAGCTCTAGGTGTACGCGTACGACCACCTAGTCCTTTTCAACGCTGAGCACGGAATCACACGAACCCCGAGATCTGCACAGGTCTCAACAGGAGTGGGTTGACTACGGCCGACCAGCTGGGGCATGGCGCTGGAGGCTCGTAGGGACAAGTCTCCGCGGAACGTGGGAACGTTTGGCGGGCCGTGATGTCCAGTTGCCATGACCACGTGCTTCGGCTGCAGCACGATCCTGATCTGCACAAGCATAGAGTCTAGACTAGTCCATGGTCGGGATAGCATTAACACTTTTAATTCCCACCCCTTCTTGGGTTTAGGTACCCATGAACATGTAAAATGTTACCCAAGTATGACAAGATAGATCCTAAACCCCATAACTAGACGCCTAACCCTGAAAGCAGGCAATGACACCCGAAGCCCTAAAGCCCAAACCGGATACAGCAAGCTGATATCCGAAAACTCAAGAACACTTGCGGAGGATTCCTGTGCCAAGTCATCCGCTTACTGTCGAGCATGAGCGATAATATCAGTAGCTGTAGTCACCGTTGTCCAAACGTAGGGTTTGCCTTTTCCTTCCTGCCCTCCTTGGGACCAGGACGTGACAGTGTAGTTGCAAAGGAACTAACTTTCAGCGTGTATGCCAAAGGATCATAAGTACTGATATGGGGCATACTTCCACGAAGCATGGATGCAAGCCCCCACACGGCAACCATAGGTGCTTCGACAACCCGTTGCGTCTCAATTCCAGACTGGACACAAAATCCTTAGGATTCTCAGGGGTGCCAGCTAACAGTCACAAACTAAACCGTTCAAACTCGATTCCGGCCAAGGCTCTCTTTGCCTTCTCTCCGCACGCGAATCGTCCAGTCTTTAGTCTTCCTTTGAGGAGCCGAGGGAGACTTCGGACTGAACTCTAAGCCTCCGGTACCTGCTATTGGATGATGGGTTTCTGGAGCTTGGGCTGGCTCAGGGTGCTGCGGATGAAAGCCGTCTAGCTTCTCTTCACCTCAACACGAAGACAGAGAGCTACTCAGAAGAAGCTCCTCAAGACCCTCCCAGAACAACCCAGATCGAGTCAACGCCTTTAGGTTCTGCAACCTGATGCCGGGAGGCTCGTTCCAGGATGCTGACTCACAGACAGAGTTGGCCCACCTTAACCACGCATCAGCGCTGCTCCGGCCCCCGTCTTTGAAACTCACGAGCGTGTGGCATTTACCACTGAAGCAGAAACATAGCTGATCGCAGCTAGCTCGGCACGGACAAATTATCAGTCGATGGAATTGGCATTCGTTCAGGTTTGGATATGCCTAACGGTGGGTGGTTGAAGAATCCAGGTGGCTGAATGTAGGGTCGGGTAACAGCTTACTGGGCTGTGGGTCGGGCGCCAGTCTCCTTCAGAGTCCATGGTGGGAAGTTTTGGGCCAAACAGTCACGCTCACAAGCTTTGTGAAGGTGTTCGGCCTCACACATTTGGAGACAGTTACGTATTTGTCGGTTTCTGTCATTGTGCAGCTTTTTTAACTGACTCATAGCACTTCAACCTTTCACCTGTGACGCTTCGTGAGCCGAAGGCGCACATTCAAATCCAGCATCTGAGCGTAGAAGTCGAGCCAGTCTGCCACTTTATCCTTGGCAGCCCAGGGAAAGAAGCTCAGTCTCAAAGCTAAAGGGGTTCTCCAAGGACATGCGTGTACCGTTTGCCCACATCAGCGACTGAACAGGTGGACTCCGTCTGTCCAGCAGACAATATGATTGCCCTCGGTGGATTCAAGTGGCTTGCTACATTCGGCATCGGTCTGTCTACACTGATGCTTCGTTTTGGGAGAGTCGAGCTCTGCAGATTGATATACTCGCCTGACTAGCCATAGTGGGCATTGGGGGGGGTATATCAACCAATACTGACCCCAAGACATGATTATCACCGAATGCTCAGACCCCAATAGTAGATGTCCCGCCTCTCGTTAGCGGGCTGGCTGACTTGGCCCTTCGAACGTTTGCTCACAGGGTCATGACAAACTCTGGAGAATCTTTACTGAGCAGATACTCACTAAGGAACCTTATCATGTCTTCAATGTAGAAGATGCCACCTTGTCTGCACTTTCTGTAACTCTTTGCGCAGCCTCCCGCCCTGGCCCCACGTAGCACAAAGAATGAAGTACAGGCGTCTTTCGGAGCGTACAAAGGCCACTGCGCCGGAAACCTTGGTGTTGGTCCACTTCTCAGCACGTCTGGGTTGTTTGTTGAAGCACCCTGGAAGATACATGGACGTCTTGCGACGAGTTGGGGGGGCAGAAATCTTTCTGTCTGCATGGACACTCGGCTCTTCAAGACAACCGCGGTTCTGACAGCTTTTGTGGGGTGCAGACGCACCGCCAGCTCCTCGAACTCTTCTACCAAGGTCCTTGAGCTCGACAGGATCCTGAAATCACCCTTGAGCCACAAAGCACAACGCTGGCCTCCCGTGTTTGCAAAGGAAGGTTGAAGGCATGGTGCGGTTCATAGGCCTTTAGCAGTTCAACACAGGTTCTGAGTGGCTAACCAGGAGCCCTATCACAATAGGTCTAATCCTTCACCACGAGGTCTCTCTTGCCCGAAAGAGGGGAAGGAACCCTGAACCCTTGAAGAATAAGGGTTATAGTTATGGGGCGTGCAGGGTATGTCTGCCTACATATCCCCGAAATGAAAGATTGAGAACTGCTTCCTTGCAGCTATCCAAACAACCCTTGACCTCCCGTGCTTTGCATGGGAAGGACACTGCTCAGTTGATAATCAAGGTGCGGAAGGTATGGCAGGTGGCAGACCCAAACAGGGTCGTGCAAGCCTTGGCTCCGGATTCTCTGCGGTTCAGCAGAGAATCTAGGCGTTCTGGCATGCTGTGGGTGGAAGAGCGGGTGTCGAGGAGCTGTTGCTCTCAAGATTCTGCTGGGGGCGCTAGGTTGGATAAGGCCCGTCTGATGTTGACCCCTGCTTCTGAAACACCGTTTAGAGCATTGGAGCTGTATGCATCAAGAACCATGTGGTCATGCGTGCACATGCTTCTCGATACGGGAGTTGCTCAGACTATGCGCGACCATCGCAAGCACATCACGCGTGAACTGGAAGGAGGAAACTATGTATACGGATCTAGGGGGACAGCACACCAGCTCCAGCACCATTTGCAAACCAGTCACACAAGGAGCTGTATCGGTGCCGCCATTGGTGGCCTGATGCAAGCTTAGATGGCAGCACCATTTGCATACCGCGTTGGCTCCATCCACGGCCATCTAAAGAAGGGATACGCTCCACTGTCTAGATTTACAGGCATGCGGACTCTATCTTGACACTTGACACTCTAGGCCCTCTGCAAATGAAGAAAGCCCTCAGCCTCAAACCCGTAAATCCCTACACTGCACACCCTGCCCTGCGCCGGCACCTTCATGAACCCGGACCCAACGTCTTCCCGTAACGTGCCTGGGCTTGGGTTCTTCTCGAGAACGATGTAGGGCACGCCAAGATTCTGGAGACGAGCCGCCTCATGCTGCAGGGACTCAAGGACTCAAGACTGGAGTGTAGAGTATACCCGCAGCCCAAGAAACCTACCATGCGAACCGAGTAGTGAACGCACGTCCACAGTCTCACATCATTGCAGGCACTCCATGTCTTCAGCAGGGCTGCCAAGACGATGCCCGACTGAGCCCCACCGATGATGACGACCTGTTGGCTTGCGAGTTGGATTGCAGGATTTAGGCATCCTGCATCTGCCTGTATCTGAGCTCTCTCCCTCCTGCACAAATCGCTCCTCCCTCCATCCCTCTCAACTTCCCTACATGGAAACAATCCCTCTTGAACTTATGAACGCGAAGCTCTCAGGAAACACAAAACTAAAGGTCTTGCGCTTTGACATATCCGGATTAGGGAGGCAGGCATTGGCCTTGTGCTCGAGCACTCGGCTTGTATTCTCGCCCGAGGATCTCGTCCAACCAGGAGAAACTGGCTCCAAACACGAGATGGCTTGCCCATAGTCACATATTATAGTATTTCATCATGATAAGTTCATCCCAGAAATTGGTCCAATGATCTGTCGCACAGTGAACTTGACACACTGTCTGGAGTGTTTTCCCAGTCTCCAATTTCTGAAGAACAAACACTTAACCAACGAACCCCAGTCTAGCGTCAGCTCATGCCAAAAACCACGAAGTCCGCCATCGCGCTATGATGTCGTTGCCGGCACCGACCCACCAAGGATTACGGGTATGTGGCCCCGCATACATATTCCGTAAACACATGAACCCCAGCCCTACACCCCAAGACTAAGCATTAGCAAAGCAGCAAAGGGCTGCTCACTGCTGCCGATCTCAGCGTGCTCGCGTGCGAGAAGCTCCGGCCAAGCCTCTGCCGAGTTAGAAGAACAACATTGGGCTTGTTGGGATCTTTGGGGTCGTTGAGGGATGCTGGGGTTTGGGACTTAGGGTTCTGAGTGTTCAGGGGACCCGGGTATAAGGCTTGCCCCAGATGCCTTATGCCTTACCCTGCAATCCACCTTCGCAGGGTCTCCAGTTATTCCATGTACCAGGTATACGAAGACCTTGCCATTTCAGAGGGTGAGGGTCCGGTTGTTGTGCTCAGGCGCACACGCATTGAAGAGAAAAGCGCTGCTTAGGGGAGAGAAGTTTAGGACTCGGGGTGTCCAAACCACTTCTACTATTACCGACGCACACTCGAGGGACGCCATAAATTCCAAATCTACCAACTCTACACGATCAGCAAATATGAGGAGCCAAAACCGAAATACGGGGAGTCGGCTTCCTCGGCAGGAAACCTGCCTTGCACGGCAGCAGGCTCACTTTCTTACATCCTTGCGCCGCTGTCACGAAAACATGCCGTGTCTTCTGGGAGCAGCAAAACAGAAAGCCGTGAATTCGATGTCCTCGAGACTACAAAGCTCTGCTGGCCTCTCGGTGCTTCACAGCACCATAATGTCCACCAACGGGGCGGCGCGGGCCAGTCTGTTCCTGTCGATGCTTGGAGTGGATTGTGTGGTAGACTGCACTCTCGAATCGTATGCCCACCCGGGCCCGAGGAAAGCCCAACCGATGTTCGACTAGCCGTACTCTTCCAAGTTGCTTCAGCTTCGCGGCATGAAACATCGACCCCTTGCACCGAAATATCGAAAAGTGCCTGAACCGTGCGGCCGAATCCCAAGTCTCTGAGCAGAACTTGAAGCCGAAATCTGTCCGAGCCGAAACTCCCCATCAACCCATGTGCAAGCCTCCATCCCGATACACTTGCATACCGAAATTGTTGCACACCTCGTGACCCTTCAGTTGCTGCATGCTCGTGAAGAAGGTGAAGCAGCGACCTTCACGAAGCAAAGCTCTTTGGAGAGGCGCTTGATTGTTTGGGGTCTGCTAAGGGCCTTCCTTGTACGGATTTTGCAGGGTCTCCGTTTACGGTGTGCAACATGGCAGTTTACTGAAACCCTAAGAGCACGAACCCCTGAGCTGCCCAACGAGCCCCAAAACCGCAACCCAAACGTATGCTTTCCAAGTCCCTACAAGGGGGCAGGCATCAAATTCTTCAACCGCGAAATCCTTCCACCCTGAGGTCCTAACCGCGAAACCCTTCAGCCTGAACGCACTGAACTTGTGGGTTTCGGGTCTTGGTGCGCGCCTTCTCGCATCTTCACCCGCCCGGTGCAGAAAGCCTCCAGCAAGGGAACAGGGTCTGCGTTTAGGGTGTGGAGTTTGGAGTTTCAGGATTTAAGGCTTTACGACGTGAGGGGCCCAAGGCTTTACATAAGTGTCGGTCAGGTCTTTAGGTGTCCTCAGGGCTTGGAGGGGTTCCGGAGTTTAGGAGTGGACTGCGGAGCAGCCGCGTACCAAACACGCTGACGACAGTAAGACTCACAATGCGTAAGGCCGGACTCAAGAAATCTGCGATCAAACGCGGACTCGGCAAACCTGCCCTAAGCGTCTATGCTGCGCCGCAGTGCATTTTGATGCCAAGCGACCCTCAACCCAAAACCAAAACCCCCCTTGACCTGTCCGAAACCTAATTTTATGTAGAAGTCTGATTAGTTCGACTGAGGTCTTCGATGCTTCGACTCTACTTCCTTGATAAATTGTGCAAGACCCAATAAGACGACCCAAATCAATTCTTATATATCCCGTGTAGCAACCTTCAAAAGCTTTCGAGCAGGTAAATTACAACCCAGCCCTTCGAAGGCCTCCGCTGTCTCAAAGTCGAACCATGCCTCGATGGTGCCGTCGGGGAGGGCCTTCGTCTCCTGGCAGGGTGGAAAAGGCTGCTCCAGTCGAGAGGCTGCGGTCAAGGGTGCATGCAAGAAAACAGTGCTTGAAAGCAGGAGGCCTCACGCCTCACTTCCTTCTAGGGCCTGGGGCCTTGGACCAAGCTGCAAGAGAAGACTACGAAGGGGTGTCCCACCGGTCCTTGATGCTCCAAGAATGTGGCTGGACTCTTGGAAGCACCGTCCGTAACATGGATGAGATCCTGGACCCAGGGTCAAGGCTAGAGGCCCTGAGATTAGTTGGTACTCATGGCTATCGTCCCCATATCCATTGCAAAATGCACACGCAAAAACCCTGCACCCAAATCTGCAAGGCCCCAAGCCATTCACTTCACCTCTCAGATCTCAGAGCCAAAACAGAGCTTCGACCTCATCCTGACCAAGGCGCTCTGCGACGCCTTCCAGTGTCCGGAGGTTCCAAGTGAAGGCCAGAAGGTCGCGCCAGTAGCCTCCAACCATAGGAGGCTAGCAAGATCTGCCAAAACAGCCAGCCAGCTGAGGTGGAAGAGCTCTGAGCTGCATAGGAAAGTTCATATGGTTCCCTTGCAGATATGAGCCCTGCTGCATGTTCGGAGCATTTCTTGTAACCTCAACCTTACAAGCCCTAAGCCCAAGGAGCAGGTCTTCAAAAAGAGCTCCTCAAGCTGCACATCCGAGCGAAGGCCTCCGAACTGTCACAGATGTTGGAGCCAAAAGAGCTTCTTTGAGGACTTCCGAGGGGCTGAAGCGGCTAAAGAAGGCACTTCTTCTTTCAAAAATCTCGGCCGGCTGGGGATTCCAGCTCGTATGGAATGTGGAGCTCAGTGGCTTTAGGCTCTAGGTGCTTGTCCAAAACCGAGCGGGAAGAATGGAGAAGGCTCCCGGCAAATCCCACGAAGAACCCGAGCGGCCGAGGACAGCCTAAGATAACGTCCTGAACATGGGAACCAGGGAACTATAGACTGTAAGGAGACCATTTCAGCCTGTAGGACTCCAGTATCCCACCCTTTCCAGCCATCTTAAACCCCTGACGATGAGCTCAGTCTAACTCTTCGGGCCCTGGTTCTCCCAACCGTCTTTCCGCCTTGCGCGAAAGCTGCTAACCAGGACTCCACACTCGTGGCCGCGTCTTTACACATGCCTCGCAGAGTTTAGGTCTCGTGGGTGGCTTTGCTCAGAGGCCCTTTTCATTTGGTTTGGGGCTCACGGTTTAGAGTTTTGGTTTCGGGTGTAGGGTGTTTGGGCTTGGGGTTTATAAGTTTGGGATTTGACGTTTAAGGGAGGGTACATGGCTCCAACCTACTGGTGCCTTGGCTACCAACGTGTGCCATAGCCAGAGGTTGAGTCACAGAAACAGACAAGCCTATAAACCGACTCTTTTCTATACAATCCCGAAGCCTAGACCTCAATCTATACTAAAACAAAGTCGGGCCAGGAAGTCCTGGCCCTAATTAAGTGCCATCCAAGAAGGGCTTAGACCCTTCTGGGGCTGGATGGCCTGACTGTGAGATCACAAGCTGCTTCACTCCCCAAGTCAAAAGCCCAAAAACCCAACTGTGAGGTAGTGTACTATGGTTACTCCGGGTTGAGGGCGGGCATTCTATGTGGAACAATCTTGGCAAAGATCGGGCACCAAGCCTTCTCGCCGCAGCAGCCAGAGGCAACAAATGTCTGTACAAGTACGCTTGGGCCACGGCTGCCATTCAGGGACAATCTGATCACTCCATGAATCCACCGCGACAGTCGGCCCCACTTCCTCGTCTTAGCGACCGAAACAGAAGGTTCAATGTCCGAGGCGGGGGTTCTGGGAGTCGGAGGAGTCGGATACTTGATACGACGCGAACACTTCATGACATGATGAGCCTGAGCCGTATACCAAAAATGCCCTGAATCAAGATGGAGCGGCCGGACATTGTGTGCTGTACAATACTAACAGAGGAAGACATGACACAGAACGAAGGCCCATAATTAACGGATGAGACATATTTTCCCTACACTAGGCGCTGGCCACCAAGAACTGAGCAAGACATGTCTGTGAACCTGGCTAGCGTGCGCACAAGAGCCCGCAAACGATTCATTTTCCCCTTTCCGCGAGCATGGATCATGCTGTGAGGCACCGCCGCAGGACATCTTGAGAAGCTTCCGTTGCAACTCTCTGATGGTAATGTACTGAAGCGCTATCGGTATGAGGCAGGAAGCCCTGTAGGGCCAGAGTACATTACAGACTTGAACACTACAAGTCTTCAGTGGCTGAAGAAACCATGGTACTCCCTGAAGCAGATAGCAAACACCCTCCGATGACTACGGCTCCATCGTTGTAGGAGCCTGAGCAGGGGCCCCGAAGTTGATAAACAAACCTCATTGGTAACAACTTGAGCTAACCGCGACGGATGCAACGAAGGAAACCCGGACACCCCAAACCTACGGGTCCTGTAGGATCCTTGTTGCTTCCTTGACTCTATCAGGGTCTCAAGATGTTTCGGGCTGCACCTCCCCGGAGCCTGGTCATTTGGCTTCGTCATCCTTCCTCAGCTGTGTCGGACGTGAGGGTTCAGTATACAAAAAAAACCCCGAGCCCTGCAATCTGAATTGCAGTCTGCTCCTTGCGTGATGCCAGAAGTATTTCGAAGTATTTTGAGTGAAAGACCGTGCAACTAAGGGCAGGGATGACATTGATACAAGGGCCTCAGTGGTAATGTAAATTGCTCCTTACGAATATAGACTGTGCCCATGGCTCACTGGCCGAAGTGTATCTCAGCTGGGCTTGCGACCAACAGCTCTCGAAGACTCTAGCAGCAGGTTGCCAAACCCCAAGTTGAAATGGTTGCGCTGCGCGATGCCTCTCATCAGCTCGCACTAACCCTATAAACCCTTAACGGTGGGCTTGGTGGCTCCAGCCTCCTTTTAAGGAAGTACGAACAAGGTCCCCTAAGGGTTGTCACAAGGTTGCCTCCCAAAGAACATCACCAAATCCAGGAAAAGGCCGAAAGCACCCTCAAAAACACAAGTAGGAAACCGAAGACTAGCCCAGTAATGAAGGCACCTCAATGCCTTATAGAAGATCTGGGTCTTGTGACTTTGGGAGCCCGGGCGGTGGTGGAGCACCAGGAGGTAGCGGCGGTGGCGCTTCCTCCGGCAGCGGAGGTGCCTGAGGCAGATTGCTCTGATACAGTTTTACGAAGGATTCTAGGTTGGCGCGTAAGTATCATACAAGCATACTACTTTGTGACTGCGTACCTTTTGGGATTAGGCAGCTCCGGGGGTCTTCAGGTCGTGCAAGTGCAGAAGCGGATCCTAAATCCGGGAACTCTCGATCGAAGATTGGCTTGGGTATGTATATATATATATACATATATATATATATACACATACACACATGTATATACACATGCGTAGATGCGGGGCTGAAAGAACTAGTAACTAGACTATGTCTTTGGGTGGGTGGATAGCATAATTGTACTGAGGAACCTCCCCAGACGATGGTAATGCAACGACCCTGTATTGGGTCTATGACGGAGTCTTGTCGCATCTGAGTCATCTTCAAACCTTTCAGGGCTTTGGCTGGGAGGACAAAAAAATCGCAGGATGCAGAGACGTTCCTTCGCCTTCAAACGCAGCAGTCAGGCTGGGTGTTTGGTGCCCAGAAATCAACCCAGTTTGAAGCTCCTTGCAGAATCTGTGAGCCCTGCCGTTTGCAACCCGCAATGCTGAAACCCGGATGCCACATTCATGCACCTGTAGGATTCGGGGGCTCCGCATGTAGCTGTGATTTCCATGACTGTGACTAGTGACTTGGAGCTACTACGTCGAGTCCTTGACAAAGCGTTAAACTCTAGATGCTGAAGCCGTGCGTCCCGCGCTTTTCCCTCGAGAGCGCTCTTGAGGCCTCCTGCAGGTCGACTGAAGGCGGGAGCTCCACTGCCTCGACGCAAACCGCAGTGGGCAGAGTGGGAGAGTTAGCAGCTGGTGCTGGGTTTGGGGCTTGTGGCTTAACGGTTAGACTTGGGGTTTCGGGCATGGACTTTCAGGTTGAGGCGTAGGGGGTTTCGGGCTTTGGAGCTCAAGTTTAGCTGCAGAATTCGGGATTCAAGGAAGAAACTAAGTTTGGGGTGTGGGCCCGCCCACAGACTCCACCCGAACAGCAGAAGCAAGATTCAGGGACAAGCTGAAAAGCACCAGGACCTACTGCAGGTGTCAAACTGTAGGACAGGAAGTTTGCAGTGCACCCTGCAGCCTGAAACCTATGAGCCCAACAGCTGTAACTCCCTAGTTTCTTAGACGGGACAAACCCTCAGAGTGCCTTGAAGACCTCCATTTCACATGCCTCCGCCGACGTGATGCGCTTGCTTGGGTCGACCTGAGCAGTACACTACCTTGGACCCCATGTGCAGAGGTTGCACTTTAAACTCCTCATTCCTGATGTAGACCTCTGATTAAGAACGCAGCCTCTGCAAAAAGATTGATGATTGAAACTTGAAATCCCCGATTATAAAGTGTGTTCAGAAAAGGGTGCCCTGCCCTGAAACTCAAAATCTCAAAACCTAAAGCCTTAGCAAAGTCTCCCCCAAAATATGAGGCCCTAGTATAGAAATAGTAAGATCATGATTGCCAAGTCCCCTAAGGAAACCATCCCCTTGGAATATTCAGAAGCCTCTCCTCAAGGATTCGAAGTCGAACCCACCTCGCCGAGCACACGACCTCCAGGCACCTGGCCGAGGGAAACACAAAAGGCACTTGCAAAAGACTCCGTGGCGTAGAGGCTAGGGATGAAGGCTAATTCGGGCTGTCGGCTCGGAGTTTCGGAGGTAGTCTAGGGTGTATAGTGTATAGTGCTTCTGAAAAAAGGATTAGGTCTTCGCTAATACGGTTTGAAAATAGAAACTGTAGCGTTCAAGGCCCGGTTCGTTGGCTCTTCAACCCAGCCTGTCCAGGAGCTCGGCAAGCTGCTTGAGCCGCTTCTCAGCAGCAGTGGGACCTCGCTCACTCAAAGCAACAGAGCAACCTGATAGCTTACCCCCGAAGATCCATAAGCTATGCAGTATACTACCATTGTGGAAATAAGCCCCAAAGACCATGCAGATTGTTCCAGAATTAAAGTGAACATGGATACCGGATACTTTGTGTCGAGATGAAATGTGACTGAACCTGGGCTGTTGCTTGACGGCACAGAGCTTTTCATGCAGCTCCCAGTGCATGCATGCTTCTACCTCTACTCAGACATAGTTGCTTGTTGCTTATCAGGTTTTGGCCGCGATCCCGACCCGATGGTAGTATGTGTGCATAAACTTGCCCGAGAGTGCGTGTGCATGGGTGGAAGCAGCAGGTTGTTGAAACTACGGCACCAACTACTGCTGTCAACCTTCTGTCCTCCTCCATGTGTTATGTGTGCATACACGCAGGTATGAAAATTCATACCTCGGGACCCATCCACCCATCCATCCATCCGTCCGTCCGTGCGTCCATCCATCCACGAAGGCATG